CCGCTTGTGCGGGCCCTGCCCCTGTTGCAGCCTCTCCAGCTGCTGCCGCATTAACTGCTGCTGTCTCTGCTGCCCTCGCATCTCCTGCTTCCCGTCCCGTTGCTGCTTCCCCCGTTTCCCCTGCCACCCCTGCTGCCCCCACCTCCCGCTTCTCAGCCTCCTCCTGTGCCTCCACTGGCTGCGTCGCCTCCACTCCCTCCTCCCCCACCGCTCCTCGCCCCTCACCACCCATCCCCAACCCATCTCCACCCATCTCCACCCCCGCGCCAAACCCCATGTCTAGATCCATGGGTTCCATAAGCCCTGCCTCAGGCTCATACCCCTCCAGCCCCCCTTCAGGTTCATACGCCCCCGCCCCCACGCCCCCTTCTTCCCCCATCGCTCCCTCCTCCGCCATCCCCCCACCTGCTCCTCCTCTCGCCCTCTCCTCTGCCACCTCCTCCGCCTCTTGTCCATCATCCCCTCGCACCGCCTCCCCTCCCGCCTTCCCTGTCGCGCCCTCCTCTCGGGCCACGTCACGGGGCAGCCATGGCTCGCCGTCCTCCTCGCCTTCCTCGACAAGCCGCATCACTGCACCCTCCTCCACCACCGCGAATTGCTCTGCACCGAGGGAAACAGGGGTGACAGGGGGGACAGGGGGAGCAGGGCGGTTACGAGGGCAGGAGGAACAGGGAGGGCAGGGGAGGACAGGGTCACGAGGCGGAACAACGAGAGTAATCCAAGCAGCTTCTTGAGAAGACAACACCCCTCCTCCCCACCAGCCGCATCACCACGCCCTACCCCCTAACTCACCACCGCGAATTGCTTTCAGAATATTACAGTGTCATCAGAACGAATAACCACCATGCATGCTTCCTTTGAACCGTGCACCCATGCGCTTTCAACCACCCACACAACCACCCAGCACCCACCATCCAGACGATACTGCGAGCCAAACGCATAGCCATCGTCAACAGGCGGCGGCTCCGGAAGCGTGATCTGCTCGCGCGTGGTCAGACTCTTGTCCACCGCCCTGCCATGCACCACCATGACACCCATGAAGACAGAATAGGGTAGGGGTTGTGATGAGAAGGCAGGAAACAGACGGTTCAGATAGCAGTGATGTCGACAGGCGGTGGCTCTGGCAGCAGCGTGATCTGCTCGCGCGTGGTCAGACTCTTGTCGCGCGTGGTCGGACTGTTGTCCACCGCCCTGCCTGCCACCTTCACCAGGGGAAAGAAAACAGACGGTTCATATTGTAATACCGACCCGACACACACATGAAGGGAAGGGTTGGGAAGGGGCCGCTAACATACACATACATCTTACTCACTCCCTCTTTCACATCACGCCCCTACCCGCGTCTCCCATCTCACCCCGGCTGCCGCTCCAACACGCCTTTGGGCAGTGCAAGCAGCTTCTCATACACATATCAGGCAGGGTGACGGCGTGGAACGACGCTCATGGATACTGCTCTCATACAGATTCCCCTAACCCACTTGCTGCCCCCCTACCCTGCCTTTCCTTTCCTTTTCTCCCCCCGGCTGCAGCTCAAGTACCCCATCGGGCAGGGCAAGCAGCTCCTCCAGCTCCACGTGCTCCGGTGGAGTGATGACGTGGAACGACGCCCATGCACATACACACTGCCATATTCCTCACATACACACTCCCCACTTGCTCTCTCACCCGGGTTGCAGCTCGAACACGCCGTCAGGCAGGGCGAGCAGCTCCTCCAGCTCGAAGTGCTCCGGCAGGGTGATGGCATGGAACGAAGCTGTTGCCGCCTCTGGGGGGAGATCCACCGCTGCTCGCGCCAACACCTGACGGGGAGGGACGGAGAGCAACGGAGAGGAACGGGGAGCACCGGAGATTAACGGAGAGTGCTTTCGGCCTCTTCACAGCTGAGTCGGCCCGACGTAGCAACAAGCTGTTTGCTGCCTCTGGAGGTAGATTCACCGCTGCGCGCGCCAACACCTGGCGGGGAGGAACGGAGAGAGAGGACGAGCGAGGCGTAGAGAGAGAGACGAGTGCCAACAAGGAGGGGTAGAATGAGAGAAACAAATGCAGAGCGTGCGTGTTGAGCCTAGACGCCGATTTTTGAATGTTACTGGGGATTAAGCAGACATGGGAGAGGAGTTTGAGACAAAGAAAGGGGCAAGCCCGCAGGGCGACAACGACTCCATGACGAGGGAACTTTAATGTAATAATGCGTTTTGATGTGTATTGATAACGCATACCTGTTTCATGCGCAGCACCGCATCGGAGCAATCCGCATACAGATAGCCCACCTGGGGTGGGGGGGCAACGGGCGAGGGGAGGAGGACAACAAGGTTACTTTACAAGGTTACACCCGTAACGTTGCAACGGCCTTGCGGCGGAAAGAGAAAGAGAGAGCATTTCACAGCTCACAATGCAGCATGCTCGATTCAGTGCACACGTCATGCGCACTGGTGAAGTATCAGCAATGAGACAAGGAGAGATAAGCATCAATCAAGAGAAGTGTACCTTCCGCGAGTATATTCGCACGACGCCGAGCAGCAGATGTCCCGACAGCCGCAGCGCGATGGGGACCTCAGGGTGAAGAATGGTGTCTGAGGAAGGGGGGAGAAGGGAGGTTGGGGAGGTGGGGAAGAGGGGTGTGGCGGGGGTAACGGTTTAGCTTGTGTTACGGTTACCACGACGGGGAGTAAACGTTGAAATCTGGTCAAGCGTACGAACGCTACAGCATCTTCTATGCACGCCGCAAATAGAAGACTAGAAAAATCAGCCAGAGGCGGCGGCGAAAAAAATTAGCAAGAAATTAAACAAACAGAACAAGCGACTGTTTTGCACAAGCAGCTAAACTTAAGCTTTAAACGCTTTAAAGCCAGAGAACCAAGGTGCAAGGGCCCGCTGCAAGCGTTCCTCACCGACGGTCTGCGGGATGTCGGTTTCGAAGATTTGATTCTTCCGCAGCTTCCGCTCCAGATGCGCCGCTATCCATATCGGGCCCAGCGCGCCCTTCTTCGACAGGAAGAGCTGCGAAAAGAACATTGCGACGACGACTGCGGCGGCGACAGCAACGAAGGTAACGCTTAACGCTTACGGCGACGAAATCAACTCAGAATAGCTCCTCAACAGCGTGACGGACACGAGAATCGCGGCAACGACGACGTCGCGACTACGTCGGACATAGACGAGGACTATGGAGGACGCGTCAGCTGTCGCCAGCGACAAGTCCGAGGAGGGCGAGAGACGGCAACAGCTATGGAGAAAATGCAGCGATCGGGCGATGCGAACAGGGACTAGTGCGCGGACGGAAAGGATGACGAACGCTGCTGGTAGTAACAGAAGACGAGCAGTTGGGGTTAACTAATGCTCCCTGAAAAAAAAAATACACTGTACCGGAAGTTAATGTATATTAGTATCTAAATCAAGACGACCACCTAGCCGTCAGTTATCGCCAACCTCCTAGCAACACGCAACTTCAGTCCTTAGTGCGCTTAGGAAAAGCTGAAATGCTGAAATAGCTCAAACGGCTCTCCGCCCCCTCCGTTGCCCTTTGTCACGAGCGCTCTTCGCGCGGATGGTGCCTTCCGCAAACCCACCCAACCCTGTTAGCGCGTGCGCGCACACTGGGAGTTTGGCTGTGATGACTTCCTTCCGCTCGACGAATGTTGGGGGAAGCGCGCGCGGGACAGCGGGTCTCATCTCATCATGTCATCCGCTGTGTTCGATTGACGTCGCTCGTCTGCTTGACGCCATCTTGCTGCCGCACGTGATTGGCTCGTGCGCGGGGGAAGTATCGGCGGTGCGCAGTGCATTGCTTGGGTTCCTCTGCGGCGAACGTGTGCGCATGTTGCGGACTGGGCACTGCACTGCATGGGGTGCAGCGGGTGGTGTGCGCGAGGCCCTCCGCCCTCCACGTAGCCACAACCAGAATTGGAGTTTCAAATTGGATTGTACGCGTTTGTAATGAACCTGATAAAATAGATCAGAGACTTCAAAATTCATATAAAACTTCTCTGAACGAACAACCTCGCAAGCAGCAAACCCACGCCACCTCGCAAGCAGCAAAATTCATATAAAACTTCCCTCGGCCACCTCGAAGCTGCCTTCCGTGGCCGATATTGCTGCGTGATTGGCTCTCACCTTTTTCGTGGCCTCGGGCTGCCCTCCCGGGATTGCCCTCCCTGGGATTGCACAACCTCGAGGTTTGCTGCCCGGCCCACGCTCGGAAGACTTTCCGAAACGTCCGAGTTTTCACCATCCGCCGCCACTCGTCGTGGCGCAACAACCCAACCCAACCCTTGCTCGTTGAGCGAGGAACCAACTCAGCGACTACGGTTCATCTTGACCAGCTGCCTCAACGCCTTTTGCCTGCTGGAAACAAACTGATCTGCTGTCCTCCTCACTCCTGAGCCTCGTTCTTAGCTTTCTCGTCCTTCATGCTCGCAGCTTGCTTTATTACCCGTTGATGACGCGGGAGGCCCCGTGAAGCAGCGACTCGAGTTCATTCTACGTTACGTCTCGTCTCAAATGACTTGCCGATCCAACATTTTTACGGTCGGCTACGCCGTTTTAAGATCATTAAGAGAAAGCGATACAGAATGTCTGTTCTACCTTAGATAGACGCCATTATTTGAGTTCGCAGATCCCTCATCAGCCGCTAAAATGGCAACTGAAACTATATGGGGATCGCCGACGCACTTGACCTCCCCTAGTCGCCGTCAATTCAGCTGCTGTAGGAACAGTCGCCGTAAGAACAGCGCAGCGCTGTCACTAAAACCGGCGCCTTCGCTAAATCGGGCAGAAACGTGTTTAGGTCCAAGGCTACTGACACCGCAACTACTTATATCGCAGATACTTCTATTACTGCTGATTGAACTGTTAGTCACTCCCGCCGTTCACGCTAGCGGCGACTTTAAATATCGGGGAACGAAGGCGGCTGCGGGAAACGGAGTAGCGGCGTATAAAGCGGGTCCGCTTCAAGCTGCTCCTGTTCCGTTAACTCTCCTGCCTGACAATCCGTTCGGCGCGAAATGCCTCGACGGCAGGTAACCCCACTGCCGCATTCCGTCAACAAAAAGCGTCATTCACTCGTCGCATGGTCTTCAATTGTGCGCTGTGCGTCGATTATGAAAGCGCCTTTTATTGTGGAGCGAAAGGCGTCGCGAGCCGGCAGGTGCAGCATTGCGGAGCGGAGACCTGCGCGAGGAGAGGCAACCCTCCATCCCCCCTCTCCCCTTCCTTCCTCCCCTACTCCCTTCTTCATGCCTATCCCCTTCCCGTTCCCTCTCTCCTTCCCCACTTCTTCCCCTTCCCTCTCCTCCCCCTCTCTCCGCCCGCCGCCCCCAGTCCCCCCGGGTACTACCTGCGGCGCGCGCGGCCGTCGCTGAGCCGCTTCTGGCACATCCACCTGCCGGGCGGCGGGTGGTGCACCACCGAGGAGACGTGCGCGTGGCGCGCCGGGAGGAAGCTGGGGTCGTCGCACCTGTGGCCCCGGGCAATGATCGTGCGTGTAACGGGGGAATGAATGTGCGTGTATCGAAGGGGAATGAGGGTGTGTTGAGGGGTTTAAATGTGCGTGTCGTCTCACCATGAGGGTGTGTGTGACGGGAAGCGGGGAGAAAGCTGGGGTCGTCGCAATGATTGTTCGTGTATCGAACGGGAATGAGGGTGATATGCGCTAAGGGGATTCGAATTTGTGTGTATTGGAAAAAACTGTGTATTGAAGGGAATTGAATGCGGCTCCCGCACTCCCTCCCCTCCACCAGCCCGCATGGCTGCCAGGCATTATGAGCGCCGATCCGATTGTGAATCCCGGGTTTGGCGAGTGGAACATGGCAATGGCGGTGTACTGCGATGGGGGCGGGTACGTGGGGAGACGGGGCGAGGTGGTTGTGGGCAACACAACGCTCCACATGGACGGCTGGAAGATCATTATGGCCATTCTTGATGGTGCGTGTGCGTGTGTGTGTGTTGCCGTCTCTCCAATTCAACCCTTCCTCTCCTTCTGTGGCGGGCAACACAACGCTCCACATGGACGGCTGGAAGATCATTATGGCCATTCTTGATGGTGCGTGTGCGTGTGTGTGTGTTGCCGTCTCTCCAATTCAACCCTTCCTCTCCTTCTGTGGCGGGCAACACAACGCTCCACATGGACGGCTGGAAGATCATTATGGCCATTCTCGATGGTGCTTGCATTCTTCCACCCCCCCTCACTCCACCCCACCCCTTCCTCCTTCCCCACCCCACCCCCCCTCGCTCCACCCCTTTTTGGAGCTTCAGTCGTTTCAGTGCTTTAGGCATGTGCTTGCTTGTCTTGTCGTTTCCGCCCTGCCTCCCTCTTTTGCACACTCACACACAGTCATGCGTGCAAACACACTCATATTACCTCCTCCCCTCCCCCATCCAATCACGCACATTTACGCACACACACACACGCCTCCTCCTCCTTTTTTCCCATCCAATCACACACACTTACACACACACACACACGCCTCCTCCTCCTTCCCCCCATCTAATCACACACACTCGCCCCAGACCTCTCATCCAAAGGGCTCATGGCAGCACAGCAAGTGCTAATAACGGGGGAGTCGGCAAACACACCTCCTCCCCTCCTCTCCCCCATCCAATCACACTCAATCGCCCCAGACCTCTCATCTAAAGGGCTCATGGCAGCTCAGCAGGTGCTAATAACGGGGGAGTCAGCCGGGGGGCAGGCAGTCGTCAACCTGTGTGACTATATCGCAGCCTACCTCTCCTTCGCCACGGTCAAATGTCTCTCTGACGGGGGCTTTTTCATTGGTGCGTACCGTAACATGTATGGTGTATGTATCACACCCCACCCCACTCGTACGCGCTCACCTAAATCGCGGCATACCTCTCCTTTGCCTCTGTCAAGCAAATGCCTCTCTGACGGAGGCTTTTTCATTGGTGCGTGCGTGAGACACACATGCATCGCACCCACGCACCTCCCACCACCTATGCACGCTCACATTACTCATGCAACACCCACAACAAAACCCTCCTCGGCCTATGCTCCTCTTCCCCTTCCCCTTTCCCTTCCCCTTCCCCTTCCCCGTCCCCTTCCCCTTCCCCGTCCCCTTCCCCTTCCCCTTCCCCGTCCCCTTCCCCTTCCCCTTCCCCGTCCCCTTCCCCTTCCCCTTCCCCGTCCCCTTCCCCTTCCCCTTCCCCGTCCCCTTCCCCTTCCCCTTCCCCTATTTTGCGCCCCTTAACCGTCACAGCACTCCTCAGTCAACGCTATTACACTTGTATTGTTGCACTTGTGGTGTCATATGACTCTATCTTGATCTGTGCTTCACCCTTGTCAATCATATCATCCACGTCACTCACCTGTGTCAATCGTCCGCCTACCTCCCCCCGCCTGCCTCCCTGCCTGCCTGCCCGCCTGCCTGCCCGCCTGCCTCCCCACCTGCCTCCCCACCTGCCTCCCCACCTGCCTCCCCACCTGCCTCCCCACCTGCCTCCTCACCTGCCTCCCCACCTGCCTCCCTGCCTGCCTCCCCACCTGCCTCCCCACCTGCCTCCCCACCTGCCTCCTCACCTGCCTCCCCACCTGCCTCCCTGCCTGCCTCCCTGCCTGCCTCCCCGCCTGCCTCCCCACCTGCCTCCCCGCCTGCCTCCCCACCTGCCTCCTCACCTGCCTCCTCACCTGCCTCCCCGCCATCAGACACGCCTGACAGGAAGGGGCGTTCCTTTTTCCGAGAGATAGCAGAGAATGCGACACAGCTACACCAGATGTTCAACCCCAAATGCAATCAGAGTGAGGACCTTTCTCGATGAAGCAAAGATTAAGGCTTGTACACCAGTTGTTCAATCCTATATGCAGCCAGAGTGAGGGTCGCAATTTGTGAAACATTGCAAGGATCACACAAAGATCAGGGCCTGTGCACCAGATGTTCAATTATTCAAAAATGTTTTTCTTCTGAAACTCCTCCTTCCCTCCCCTCCAAAAACCCTTCCTCCCCTTTTTCCCCGTCCCTTTTTCCCCGTCGCTTTCCCGGTTCCCTCCGCTCGGCAGACCTTCCAAGTCAGGCCCAGTGGCGCTGCTTCTTCCCACAGTACTCGCTCGCTTATGTCACCTCCGATATTTTCATCCTCAACACGCTATTCGACCCCATAACGCTCATGATTGGTGGCCAGCTGCCCTGGGGCCATGAGCACGCCAAGGAGTGTCTCTTTGGTCTCCGATGGGGTGCCGGGGGGGGAGGGGGAGGGGGCTTGAGTGGCGGAGCGGGGTTTTGGACAGGAGGTGCTGGGATGGGGGGAGGAGGGGAGGGGGGCAGGCTGGCGGGAGGGAGGGGAGGGTTGAGGGGAGGGGTTGATGGAGAGACACCAAAGCCGAAGATGCTGGGTGGTGATGGTGGTGCTGTATTCACAAGTGTTGGCATGGCTGAGAGTGATTACAACGAAGGGTTTTTGGGAAGTGGTTACAGTGAAGCTGGTTCGGGTGGCGTCAACATAGCGGAGAGCAGCAGGAGCAGGAATGGGAGCAGTGGTGACAGTAGTGTTGTTGCTAATGGTAACACTGGTGATCAGGCTGTGAGCAGACCTGTCAGCGGCTTTGGTTCCGGTCAAAGCAAGAACGGCTACAATTCCAAGGAGAAGCAGCTGCAGGAACGGAATCAAATGCAGCAGCCGCTGCAGGAGAAGCAAAGAGGGAAACAGCAGCAACAGCAGCAGCAGGGCTGTCGACCTGTAGAACGCACTGCAGTGCTGAACCATGGCTCCATAGTAACCACCTCCCTGCAGGAATACGCCAATGATCCACATGACAATATCAGAGTGTTCTTACTGAATGCATATGCACATGGGATTGGCGGCACCAGCTATTGGACATCGTTTACATCTGATTGGATGCTCATGCCACTGAACATTGCAGTGGCTAATTGGTTTGACGAATCCAGATAGTGAAGTTTCACTGTATTTTGCTTTTCCTGTAAATTACGGTATTTATTGTTACTTATCTATCTGAAGAATGCTGTGTTGAATCATCTTGTTCTTATGTGGAGGATGAAAGGTTCTTGTCAGTCACTTTGCTCCATGCACTGCAGGCAGTGTCGGCCTCGGAGCGGGAGTCAGGAATCAGAATTCCGCTCAGCAGCATCTGAAGAAATGGACAGGTTCGTTGGACTCCTCAACAACAGACCGTCCGGACCGACTTGGACCCAAACATGAGCCACATTCCGAAACGGCATTCCTGGGAGCACCGCCCCACGTGAACTATCTTCCACTACCTTCCCCAAGTGGCATTTGAACCTTCCGCGATCCGTCGAGCTTCTGCTGCTCCCCACGCACACCTTCCGTTAGCTCAGGGCCGTATTTAAAACCGTCGCGTCCAAGTTGGCTCGAAGGCGTCGCCTTTTAGAACACGTAGCGGATCCAATACGAGCGACGAGCATTTTACTAACGAAGGCTCGTGGACTGGACACTATAGTACGAGGAGCATAATCAAATCCAGTTCCCGGACAGCTCGAGGCCAAGAGAACGACAAACATTTCTTTCTAGAACCACCGTAGACTCTCCTCTATAATGTGCGTAAATGTGCGAAGTATTATGTACGAGGCAGGTCTGACGTTCGTGAACATTACACGTCGTTCGACAGCATGTCGGTTCACGACATGAGTCCTCGTCACGTGACGAGACTGCCGTTGGCAGCAAGTCGGGAACATGTTTCACGCAAGTCGCAAAAGCTTGCGGCTTTGTAGTCGCTTGTGGGAGAGCCGTTTTCTGCATTTTGCAGCAAAGCAGGTCCCCCATCCGCGGCGATCGACAGAACGTCGATTTCCTGCTTTTCCGCACGTTATCTGCTTACTTACCCGTCTCGGTCGCGCTTATGAAACGGACAAGGTACTTGCTCCCCAGTACCCTTTGAGTCGACTCAAAAGCCACTCAGCTCTTCGGTGCATTGCGCTCAAAAATCGGGCCGGATTGATACTCCTTGTTTCTTCCTCAGGGCCCTCTGTCCTGCCTTTTTCGCCGCAATGGCTGCGATCTGATCAGTTGGAGCTTCCGTCTTCTGTATCAGAATCAAATTTATTTCCTTTTGCTGCACCTCGAAACGGTAGCAGCATGGAAGCATGAACCAGGCTAACCGCTCGACTCCTCCTTCATGCTTATCCGAAGCGTATGTCCTTGCGTTGCACTGACAGTCGAGCTTCGTAGTAGGAGGATAACTCAGGATAAACATTAACAAGCCATCTGCACAGGGCTCACGTTGTCTTAGTATTAGTACTGCTCGCTGTGTCAAGTTGCGAGCAGTAAACAATTTCACCTTCTCCCCATCTCCTCGCTCCGATCTTCATCCCAATATGCAATCCTCGCCGTGCGTTCTCCTTCTTCCAAGCGGAGCAGCTCGACTCTACTGGGACCGGGTGACGGTACGGCAGGTTCAGCAAGATTACCCTGAATTTGTTGTCTGCATGGATTCGGATCCCGTCAATCCTCTTCGACCATGTGCTGTTCTTCAGCCTGGAAGCACCTGTTTTCTGGTTCCGTCACCTCAAAGAGCCCGTCGTGCACGTAATACTTCATCGTCCCGACGACCTGACGCATCTGCAACACATCAACCAGCGAACGATGAGGCGTTTTTCACGACAGTATGGCGAGCGAGTTCCATGGATTACTCGGAGCTCGGAATGACGGGATCCATCCCAGCCAATAATTTGAATGCAATGTTGCTGACTTTCGAAAGATGTGCTGCTGGGTCTCTGGCCAAGAGAACGCAGCCAAAGAGGAGCAGATCGAGGGCCACTGAAACGTCCTAGTTTCAATATAATCGCAACCACAGCGGAATTTAGCTACATGGATATCTCCAGGCAGGTAGTTCAAGATATATGGCAGAATCCTGTGTAGGGCATTTTGAAATCAATGTCTGTACATACCGTCAATGCCAGGCATAAAATTTTCGCAATGCTGCAAGCCATTTATTTAGTATAACATGTATACAATAGTATAGGCAGCTATTGCTGCTATTATCCTATTCTTACTTGCCTTTAGCATCTCCCTGATTGGCCTCCACGCATCTGATTCATTTGTTTATGTTAATCTATCAAATCCTACCTCCATCAGCAAATCTCTTTCCACCCTTTCAAAACCATTTCCGCCGACGTTTTGGCATGAGCCCTCGATATCCTGAGGGCACAATGAGCCGCAATTCGAGCATCTCCTTGCACAGTCTCAACACATCCCTCCCTCCGCTTCCCTTCCAACCAGCCCCACCTCCTCTCTCCCAGCCTCCTTCCCCCACGCTACTTTCAATCAACCCAGTCAGCCGTCCCACGATCCGTGCACTAGCCTCCACGTGGCGCTCGTCTAGCGGCCGGCTCCACAGGAGCACAACCAGCTGGCGCTTGCGTTGGCGCGATGACGTGGCAATGCCCCATTGGCGGAAGAGCTCGAGGCGGTGGTGGAGTGTGAAGCAATGTGCCATTCGCTGGGCTAGGTACTCCCTCTCCTTTCTTAACTCCCTCTCCCTGGAATACCGATCGTGGCACGATAATGTGGAGCCATGGGAAAAGACAAGGGGAGAGAGGGAGGCGGGACGGGAGAATGAATATACTCCATCAGCGCAGAGCTGAGAATATACAGCGAGCAAGATAGAAAGTCAGTGAGACCACAAGGACTTTGGAGATACACCATCAGCACTCACTGTTATTTGAGGCATATCATACACATGTTTCCCCCTCTCCCCAGTGTTTGCCATGCCACATGCCAGTCCACCTGGTCGCCTGCCAGAGGGGAGGAGGAGCTCACCTGGCGGCCTGCCCATCTTCCCCCAGGTGCTGTACGAGCCACTGCAGCCGGCGCCTCTCCACCTGCAGGTACACCCGATCCGACGGCTCTCCTTGCATCAGCACGAGGAACAGCTGCGTGCGACGGATGAGCGACACCTGGCAGCGGTCCCACAGCACCACAGTCTCCCTCATTTCCTCCCTGAACCCCGATTCAAAGTGTGGAATGATATAGGGGGAAAGGCTAGGCTGATGCTGTTGGGGAAGAGCGTTGCCGGGTGTTTCAATGCACGCTGCTCCAGAAGCATGCCCTGAAGCTGTTCGGTTCCATCGCCCTCTTCTTTCTCTACCATTGGCCTCTCGTCCCCCCTGTGATCTCCCCATCCCTCGATCCTCCTCATTGCCCCAGACCCTGTCCCCCACTCCCTCTCCCTCCTCGTCCTCCTCCTCCTCCTCCTCCTCCTCCTCCTCCTCCTCCTCCTCCTCCTCCTCCTCCTCCTCCTCCTCCTCCTCGTCATCCTCCTCCTCCTCCTCCTCGTCATCCTCCATCTCATCCTCTTCCTCCTCGCCCAGTCTACCCGCCTCTAACTCGACCACCTGCTTCACCAGCAGCTGCTTCTGGTAGTGCAGCTTCGCTACAATCTCCTTCAGTTCAAGCACGTACGTGCGGATTCTCGCCACGTTTACCTCGGCTGCCGACTGGAACAGAAACTCCATCCGCTGGAGATCCTGGGAGGAGGAGCGTGTCATTCCAGAGGGGTCTGCAAAGCACCCCATGTCAAACCCCATCCCTGCAACCCCGGCGTCAGCAGCAGCTTGAAGCTCCCTCACTCCCTCTGCAGCAGCGGCAGCTGCTTTTTCGGCCGAATCATCAGCAGGAGTAGCAGCAGTAGGTGCAGCAGCTGAAGCTCCGTTGCTCGCTCGCTCCGCGTCCTTCTCGTCTCTCACTGTGAGCCTCGAGAGCTCTGCGTGGAGCTGGAGCAAGCTGGCACGCCCCCCTTCGTCCCCATCCCTGCTCGCAGCACCACAAGCAGCCCCCCGGCTTGCACTCCCCGTGGCAGTGGCAGCAGCAGTGGCGGCAGCAGTGGCAGCAGCAAAGACAGCAGCGCCACCAGCAGCGGACAAGCAGCCTGACACAGGCTGGGAGGCGAGAGAGGGAGTGAGAAGGCCAGAGAGCTGGTGAGAGAGGGGGGTGAGCAGCCCAGACGCGTAGCAGGAGGAGATGTTGGAGGAGGGGGTGAGGAGCCCAGACAGGCAGTGGTACGGGGGCGTCAGGATCCCAGAGAGGTGACTAAGGGGCGTTTGAACACCTCCCTCTGACACACTCTCACTCTCCTGCCCCTGCCCCTGCCCCTGCCCCTGCCCATGCCCCTGTCCCTGCCCATGCCCCTGTCCCTGCCCATGCCCCTGCCCCTGCCCCTGCCCCTGCCCATGCCCCTGCCTGTGCCCGTGCGCCTGCCCGTTCTGCCTGGCTCTCATGCGCTCCATCTCCCCCTGCAGGGCCCCCATGGCGCGCCCCACGTCGTCCCCCAGGGCGTCCTGCAGCTTCTCCAGGCGCTGGATCTCCTGCATCAGCGCCAGCACCTTGGCGCTCACCGCCTTGCGCCGCCGCCTCCCCTCCCTCGCCCTGTCCCCTGCCACCCACGCTTCGAGTGACTGGAGAGAATGGAGGGACTGGAGGGACACGCTCTCTCTTCCGAACGAGTCTCCCTTGTCCCGGCCTAGCCTCCCGCACCGCCTCTGGCTCATCTCTCGCTCGTCGGCTTCCCCTCCCTCGTGCTGCTCGCACTGCCGCTCTCCCTCCCTCGCTCTTGTGCTCTCCTCCCATGTCATCCTTCCCCTTGTTGCACGCGCCTGCTGCTCTCCTCCCCTCACGTTCACCCCCAGGGCCGCCTCACCAGCCTCGCCTCTCTCCCTCCTCCCTCCCATGCTGCTGCTGCTGCTAGCAAATCTCGATCTGGAGATCCCACGGGTATGACCGCCGTCCCCTGCAGCATCGCAGCCACCGTTACTAGAGGACAACCATCTGCCGCCCACAACCAGCCCACCTGCCAGCTGCGCCACCCCGTCGCCTGGCACTACCTTCCCATCCACCACCTCCTGTGTGGCAACAGCAGCTGCAGCGGAGGCATGAAAGGTGGCGTCCTTCTCCCTCTGCTGCTTGCTTGGTCTGGGTCGCCTGGTGAAGCTACCGGGGAAGCACGTGGGCAGGACGAGATCCAACGGCTTGGATGCCGGGAAGCAGGTCGGCGTGAAGCGATCCCAGCCGTCCGCCTCATCGTCAGATGATTCTGAGACGTTGACGCTGGAGACTGGGTGCACCTGCAGGGAAGGAGGGGACACGAAGGATGGCACAAAATATCAAGAACAGGGAGAGAGAAAGGGGCGGGATGGGACAAAGTGACGGTCGCTGGCTGGCTGGAGTGGAAAGAAGTGCATGGCGGTAGAAACACAGGAAAAGAGAGCTCAGAGAGGAAGGGTGGAGAGGGTACAGAGGGTGCAGAGGGCGAGAGTGCAAGAAGCCAAGTACAAAAGAGGCGAGGAAGAGTCCAGGGTCAGGTCAGCATAAGTGCAAATATGCAAATAAAGTCAAAGAAGTCACCTTTGCCATCTGCCACACCCCTCATGGTCCTACCTTGCTGCTCTGCCATGCTGCGTGCGCCTTTCCCCCATGAATGAAAGAGGAGCATACCTCGCTGCTCTGCCAAGCTGCTTGCGCCCTTCGCCCCGTGAATGAAAGAGGAGCATACCTTGCCGCTCTGCCAGGCTGCTTGCGCCTTCCCCCCGTGAATGAAAGAGGAGCATACCTTGCCGCTCTGCCAGGCTGCGTGCGCCCGTCGCCTGCCATGGGACCCGCCGTTGGCCCGGCCGTGGCAGGTGGAAGAGGCAGAGAGCACGTGAGTGAGAGAAAGGAGATGAGAGGAGCATACCTTGCCGCTTTGCCAGGCTGCGTGCACCATTCGCCTGCCATGGGACCCGCCGTTGGATCGGCTGTGGCAGGAGGAGGCAGCGGAGAGCGCGTGTGTGAGGTGCTGCACCTGCGCCAGTGCCTCGCTCTGCTGCCTCGCTGCCTGCGACAGCTGCGCTTCCAGCTGACGTGTTGGGGGGGAGGGGAGCGAGGGAGGGAGAAGGGAGGCAAAGGGAAGGGAGGGAGAGGGGGGTTGCTTGGTCTGGAGGAACTGCAGATGAGTTGTGTCGTCTCTCCACCCACCCACATGCCACACGCCTCCCTCCTCCCCTCACGGACCTGCCACACGCCTCCTTCTTCCAACCCACCTCCCTCCTCCCCACCCACCTCCCTCCTCCTCACCCACCTCCCTCCTCCTCACTCACCTCCCTCCTCCTCACTCAACTCCCTCCTCCTCACCCACCTCCCTCCTCCCCTCGTACCTGCTGCATGCGCAGAGCCTGCTGGTGGAACTGCTCTGGCGACGGGCGCATTCTCATCTCGCCCTCCAGCCGCGCCACCTCCCTCTGCAGCTGCTCCACCAGTGCTCGATCCGTCACCACCTGGTGGGGGAGAGCAAAGGACGTGGTAAGGGAGGGGGGTGGCAGGAAATAAGTGAAGGGGATGAAGCAGCCGCGCCACCTCCCTCTGCAGCTGCTCCACCAACGCCCTGTCCGTCACCACCTGGTGGGGAGAGGGGTGGAGGTTTGGCAGAGCAACGGTGAGGGTGTTGCGCGTCTGGTCCAGGTGGGTCCTGCCCGCGCTGATGGTCGTGATGATGGCCGTGCGCCCGTTGCCCCCCAGCGACTGCTGCAGGATGCGCGTGAGCTTCGAGTCCCGGTAGGGGATGTGCCCCGCCTTGGCCCTGCTGCCCGCGCTGCTTCATGGACAGCGTGAGAGGAAGAATGTGTGAGGGGGAAATGAGGTACAAGATTATGATTTGATCGACGAAAGTGCATAAGCAAAGGCTCGTCGCGTGAGCTTGGCGTCCCGGTACGTGCTCGCGCCCTGCCTTGGCCCTGCTGCCCGTGCTGCTACGAGGAGAATGTGTGAGGGAAAGGTCCAGGCAAAAGACGAAGGAAAGTTTCGGCAGACGTGAATAACTTGAGCCACAGATTCGTCTTGCTGGTGGTGATTCTGTTCAGTACAGGAGCAGAGGACAGAAGCTCGACACATGCTCCACAGCCCGGCCCTCACAGCAGTGTGCGCACCTCACAGCCCGTCCTCACAGCAGTGTGCGCACCTCACAGCCCGTCCTCACAGCAGTGTGCGCACCTCAACTTGCGAATAACGGTAGCAAGGGTGAGCAGGCTCCTGTTGATGTGGCAGCCCTCCTTCAGGCGTGTGCCCGCCACGTGCGTCTGAGACGCCCTCTCACTGCCCGCCAGGTCCACAAAGTTCTGCTCCAGCCACGTGGCGTAATTTCATTGGGAGGGGCCACGCAGCGGAAGGGGTGGAACAGAGAAGAGGAAACGGAAAGAATGGCAGGGAAAAGGAGAAGACAGGCGAGACACTCTGCATAAGAGGGCAGGGGACGATGCTGTGGGTTGGGGGGAGGAGAGAGGGTGGGGGATAGCGGAGGGGAGGGAAGATGCATTCAGGAAGCAAAGACGAGTTGAGGGGTTCCGATATACGGGCATGACGTGGCAAGTAATTCCAAAATCTCATCACTCCATCAGATCTCCTATACTAAGACAGAAGGGCGCAAAGTCACTCACCAGTGAGGCGGAGAGCATTTGGGCGGCAGCAGCGTCTGCTGGCACGGATGTGGCGGGTGGAGGCGGTGGAGGTGGTGCCGCTCGTGACATTGCATTGGGACAGCTCTCCACCAGCTGGAAAATGAAGAAAATGAGGAAAATATGACGAAAATTAGGAAAATGAGGAAAATGAGGAAAATTAGGAAAATTAGGAAAATGAGAAAACGAAAAAATATGAGGAAATTGTATTAAAAATAAGAAATTTAGAAAATAAAGGGTGGGGAGATAGATAGGGGGAAGGTAAGGGAGGGAGGGACGAAAGCACCAGAGGAGTGTGGGAGCACTGTGAGAGTGTAACTTAAAGGATTGCACACACGCACACACTCGCTCAGCACACACCGGCACTGACAGCACATACCACACACCCCACACGCACCAGGCGAATGATCTGGTGCGACCTGGAGCTTGCATCGTTGAGGGACGTCTCGCCCACCTCCCTGTGCGCCGCACACTGCGCCAGCAGCTGCTGCAACTCTCCCTTGGACTCCACGCCCACTTCCGTCAGTCGCTCCACCACTGTGCCTCTCTGCGTGCAAGGGATGGTGGAGGCAAGGCGGGAGAGGAACGTTTGACTCGGTCACTTCAGCCTGCAGCTGCTGTGAGGGTACTTCGCGTTGATTAGTGGGTCGGCAATGGTCAAGCGGAAAGGGAGCTTTGGATTATTACGGAATTGTCATAACTCAAATGCGTGGTACCTAGAGATTGTCAGGAAGCTTCAAACAATTCAAATTCGTAGATTGCATGGTTACATGGTTACCTCGGGATCATCGAGGAGCCTGAGGGGCCCAGAGTCGGGGTTGAGAAGGTCCCTGACAATCTCGTTGTAGATCTCAATCGCTGACAGCTTCACCAGGAAGCTGCGATGCGGGTTCTGCTCAGATTTGCACATTGCGCATCCATACACACATACACGTACACAGCTGACTGACACTGTGAGCGTCCGTGTTTGACAATTGACATTCTGAAAGTTCATGAAGAGATCCAACTTTGTCAATGTGTCCTCGAAATAAAACTGGAAGTGTTTGTGGCCGTGAATATCCATGAACGAAAACTGGCATTGTGCATGTCCGTGACGACAACTGACGATGTGAAAGTTCCTGACGAAAGGTGACATTGTGAATGTCCCTGACGACAATTGACACCGTGAAGCCCGTGAAGATAGACAATTGTTAATACTCATGAAGATAACTGACTCTGTGAATGTCTATGAAGTTAACTGACGCTGCCATGGTTCATGAAGACAACTAAGAATGTGAAACTCCATGGATTCAACTGATATGGTGCATGATTACGAAACTGACATCGGGGATGTCCATGAAGATAACTGACATTTGTGAATGTCCGTGACGAAACATGAAGGTGGAAATGTCCGTGAAAACAAGCGACGGAATCAATGTTCCTGAAGAGATTTGACATTGTCAATGTTTCTGAGAAAAAATGGCATCGGGAAAGGCCGTGAAGATTACTCACATTCCGAATGTGCGTGAAGATGTCGCAAGCAGCAAGATCAGTAATGGCTTCCATGGTGTAAGTCTTCCCACTGCTTGTCATGCCATAGGCAAATATCGAGGCTGGCAACACAGAAAAAGCAGCATACACAAGGAAACAGAGACCAGTTAACAATGAACAGTCAGCATGAACAGAAACAGAGACCGTGGTACGAAAACAAGAATTGGAACAATGGAGTGAACGCACCGTTGATCCCGGACAGCGCTGACAGCACAATGTTCTTCGCTCCCTCCTCGTAGACCCGATCCGACGGACACGCGGGACCGAATGCACGGTCTGCAGCATGACAAGGGTACACCTTCAGTTATAATATCCTTACGTTCATACCGCATGTCTGCTCAGATATCACGTCAAACCTGCTTGAAAAGCAGGACAGATGTGTGCAAATATTAAAAGCCGGACCTACTTGACAGATTCGAGCGCTTACCGAAAGCGTAAGCAGCCGGATACGGCGACCGTTCGGGGAGCGGCTCCAGGAAATGAAGCGTGTTGGGTTCCTGAATCCGCCACACTACCCTATCCCCGCTAGCCGCCTCCTTCCTATTCAGCGGTCGCACGCGGACCGACACGAAGATTTTCTCCGACGTGGCTTTGAGTCCCACGCTCGCTCGAGACACGGGTGCGATGATAGCTGCTTTCGCGTCAACTACAGGCGAAAGGGTCGGTTTCATGGAGTCGGGGGGGATGCTGTCCGGCGCTAGGCTAGAATCAGGCTCCATCCTCGCGTCAGGTCGCGTATCGTGACCGAGCTTCCATCGCCTATTAGAAAACTCTACTTTTTTTATTCTCTCGGATTGAGACTCCTCGGACTTCACAGTCTGGCTGCTGAAAATAGCTCTACTAGGAGTCCTTTCGAGGTAAGAAAGCTCGGATTGGTCCGGGAAATCTAAACTTCCACAGGAGGACAAGCTCATTTGGCAGATGTCAGAATCGTCCATTGCGAAACTAAACGGCATCCGAGTACAATGTCTGGTGAGCTGACATCGACGGTTCTGCCGAAAAGGTCGATTGCAAACTGTCGCGGGTCTTGTAAGGTGGTCGCACCAGACGTCAACGATATGCTAAGCGCTCTATGAAATGTCATCGCATGTCTCGAGACAGACGGAGTTGAATTGTATTACGAAAGCCTCATGAACAGAATGTCAAGTGACTTGCGGCGAATGTCAGTCTCCGAGATCAGGACTACTTTTGTTACGTGTGAACGGCGACTCCAAGACCAAGACATGTTATACGATAGCGAGCATCGCGTTGCGAAAGGTCGAGACGGCCGTTAGCTTTTGCAAACCGCGCCCGAGCGAAGGCACACCATGGACGAAACTCGGGGCACCCTTCGCATGACCACGTGGCCTTTGTCGCCTCACTTTATTTCGCTGGAATATATTCTGCGAAAACGACCATATGTGGCTGGAACATCCATGCAGGCCGATCCGGATGCTTCCCCATGGCGGCAGACTTGAGTAATCAGCAGCAAAAATAGCATCTACAGATTGTATCATGGTTCATGGATGGTTTCCCTTCATGTCGATAAATAAGCCAACATGCACTGAAACGGGGTTTAGTACGGTATACCGCGGTAAAAACCATCACAGTACGGTATTTACCTCAAAATCGGAGACATGGTGACGGCAAGGAAGAAATCCGCGCCTTCCACCACTAACTGGCGTCGAGGACGAGGAGGAGCATCCCGCTTCCGCCCGTGCGGAGATGTTTTCCCTCGCGACCCCCCATTCCTGGCATGCGGGGTCTGACTCAAATGGATAGATTCTTGATTCGTTCAACGGGTGGCACACGGATGGCGGATTCGCATGGCATGCAATGGCATGGGGTGCTTTGAGCGACGGCAAGCGGTGAATTTCCTGCACAATGGGTTGCCAGTGCGAGGCGAGTGAATCATCTGTGCGACGTCTCGGCTGTCGCGGACGTGATTCTGCGAACTAGCCGCATCGCATTTCACGACAGCAGAGCGAAGTTTCATGTTCGTCCTTGCGCGGTTCGACACGCTTCATTCATCATGCATGCAGGCAGGCACATCCAAGGCCCAATGAGCCTGCTGCTGGGGGGAACCATCAAAAGTTCGTGATGGCGCGAAACTCCATTCCGCGAGACTCGTTCCTTTGCCGAAGGGGGGTGCTGTGCTGGTGAGTGGCAAAGGGCCCTCAGTTCCCCGACAGGACTGTGCGCTAAAGTCTGCCCCGCTTCTGTACGCCACTACTATCCCTCAGTGAACGATCATACTGGACTCACATAGGTTGTGTGTACTACAATCTAACTTGGGGAGTGACTGATGTGCTCGTGCTGTCTGTAAACAATACGCAATTGATGCAATAACTCGTGCATCTTATACAGCATCCACCCATCATGACCCGAGTGTTGAATGTGGTCGTCACGTGAAGGTCAATCACTTCAACAAAAAAACGCTCGCACTTCCTGGATGTCCATATTCGTTGCCCCATGGTGCTGTGCGAAACATCTCTTGTGTTTTTCTGTGATAATTAATTGAACCATATTTTATATTCTATGATAAACAAAAAACAGCAATCCACTTGAACATTTTTATGGCACGATGTAAGCGATTGGAAAGTTTAAATGTGTGTGTGTGTGTGTGTGTGTGTGTGTGTGTGTGTGTGTGTGTGTGTGTGTGTGTGTGTGTGTGTGTGTGTGTGTGTGTGTGTGTGTGTGTGTGTGTGTCCTTTTGCACGAATCCCCGAATCTCTAAGTGGGCGTAGAAACCAGCAGGCAACGGTATTTTGATTGGGTGTACATACTTGCCACGATGATGGTTTCCCAAGGTTGCTAAACACAATGCGGAGCCCAACCAGTGCCAAACTCCCAAACAACACTCCATCTCCAAGATCTGCACGCACAGAGCCTGTGCCGAGACAAAATGAAGACATGAGAATTGAGTGCGTTGCTTATGTTCCACGTTATAAGGAATATGAATACTCCACCACTCTGCAAGTCAAGCAGCAGAGCATGAATGCCTGGCTTTGATTTAACGTGTGTTTTATCAGGCCCTTGAAATGAAGCAGGCCAAGCTCTTTGTTGGATATATGAACAATCACATAATGGCAGCCAGTCTGGCTAGCTTAGTATGCTAACCTCTCTATGGTTGGTAAACGTGATCTCCTAAACCCGCAAGCCCCACACGTCGTCACCACTTCCTCAAGCGGGCAGCTTCGTGCCTTTCGGGAATTGCGGGTTGTTGACCCCATGAGCGATGAAGTACGGTCCGACATACATTTGAGGCTCAACCACAGTGCTCCACGTCGGACGCGCAATGCCCATCTGGCCCAGCATAATATTCGGGCCCTTAGGCGACATTTTAACAAGGCTCAAACCCTTGAGCTGAGTCGGGAGCAGCTGGCCCTTCTTTATAGCTTGAAGCTGGGTCTGCGTATAACGGGTCGCGATGATCTGGACGGCGGTGAGGTTGTAGGCGGTATCGGTGGAGATCTTCTTGCCCTTGAAGCGCTTCGCCAGCGCGTCAGCCACGGCGTCGCTCATCAGGAGAAGCGTGCAGTTCTTGAGCGCGGAGAAATCGTATTTGGAGTTCACTGTAACGGGGATAGAAGGGAAACCCGAAGAATGCGCAGAGTTGAGAAAGGCGTCAGGAAAGAGAAGTCCGTTGTGGAGTGGTGGCGTCAGAAATGGCAAGAAGTTCCCAAGGCTGTCACCGCAGTACAGCGCTAGGTGTGATGCGGACAAGTAACGTTACGCTACTTGGATCGACCGTACACGGTATCCCAGTGCCCGTGACCGGTTAGGAAGTGCTCACCTTGATTTCCTATCCTGTGAATTCGTTCAAGTACCGATCTCGAACTACCGTTTGTCACAGTAATAAGCCATTCGCAAACTACCGATGCCATGGCTCAAATACCCACTTTTGACTACTGATTCTGAAAGTTCCGATCCTCAAGAACTCACAGGCAACGTTGATGACTTTGTTGACCTGCGCCGAGTACTTGGCGTATTTCGGGTACTTCTTCGTAATTGTCGCCGTTAGCTTCTTCAGCTCGGCGCGGAGCTGCGTCTTCGTCGGCGGTGCAGCGCCGTCAACGCTGACGGCTGACAGGCAGACGACGGCCGCGAGCACTAGCGTGACGGCCAAAATGATTGACCGCGCCATGGCTGTGATTCAACTGCTTCGATTCAGAGACTATCCGCGAGATGCGTTGAGACCCTGAGTGTGCTAAGGGAAATGTATAGAGTTACGAATCTAGAGTTAGCAACTGGAGAAGAACCAGTGGATCCGAGTAGGATAGAAATCAATACTGGGAGACGGTGAGACGTAAGAATGCTGGTTGCTGTTCATAATCTGAGGTCTCAACGGAGTTATAGAAACGCACGGGCTTGTGGGAGCCGAGACACGAGTAACGAGTCACGACTCGCTACCAGGAGTCCTCCCTGGTCCGCCCTAGTTTGTCGGCAGCCTTTTCGGAGCGTCGCGCTGTAAACACTGCGAAAAGCGGCGTCCTGTGAATGAGTATAGCCGTTTCTTTCCGACCGTCAAATGCGACTTCATGCGACCAACACGGCAGTTTCCTCGCTGCCCTCCACCTCCACTCCCCCTTCACCCTTTCCGTCCCTCCCTCTCCTCTCCCCCTCTCCGTTTGGTGGTTGTTGCCTTGCCTCCCGTTCCGTCCCTCCCGACTCGTGCCCGAGCAATCCTCCTCAGGCACGACGAGCCACGCTTTTTTTTTTTTTTTAGTGCGATATAGCTTGGTTTAGAAAGCCAATGGACACATACATCCTTCTCCAGTTCAATAACAGCAGGGACGAAACAAATAAGGGCCCGACTGGGATGGAGAGATTTGGAGACGGGAAGAGAAAAAAGAGAGAGAGCAAGGAAATGGGAAAGGAAAGGAATAGTAGGGGCCAGGCCAACCAGTAGGCCTCGCCTTTTCGAATTCGAGCCTGATCTTCCCCGACTATCAGGTTTGGTTGACACCCGCAGGGAGGTATGAGAGGAAGCTAGGGCAACGGTGGTTTGCCATGGGGAGAGCTGGGAGAATTCTAGGGCTGGGCTGGACGGAGCGCGTTTAGGGAAGTCAGGCTCGCGAGAATTGAGGGCAATGGGTTTGGCTTGACTGGTTTGGCTCGGCATGAATGGCGACGCGTGACTGACGGATCCAGGGCTGCCAACGTGCAGAATGCGGTGGGGGGAGCGACCGACATCAGCGCTGGGGTTGGAGACATTTGAGCCACGGTACAGCCACAGCCTGCAACTGTCGGTGCCGCGTTGCTGTGTAGAAAGCAACTGCACATAGAATGAGAACATCCGCATACTCAACCAGCTCGAAGAGCCTAATATGCCTACACCAATTTCTTATTAGATGATTGGTTACTTCAAAATTACAGCAAATATACTGAGCTGAATGCAACATAGGTAGTGGAGAGGGACCTGCATTGGTAGTGTCATATATGGTACGAATGGAATGGTGTTGCACTACAGTGCACCAAGGTTGATGACAAGTGGTATGGTAAATTGTGAAGGTTGGCATCAAAACGGGATACGAAATGGGCAAATGGCACAGAGTGATACCATACTGGAGATTAGCCTTCTTGCAAAAGCACAAAACTTCGCATGCACAACCAGGGTCCAGCCAGCAGCACCCACTCTGAATATGGATGAGAACTTGATGGTTTAACTACCATACGAGGCAGGGGTTTCTTGAAGAAGTATTGTGCCATCAAGTGGCGGAACCCTTTTGGTGATGCCAGCTGCTGAGGAAATGGAAGAAATGATTGTGGTACTTCCCAACAGACAGAACTTGTCAGCTCTTTGCTTCCTGCAGGTTTTGAGAATCTTCAATGGGAGTGTTTTTCTTCATTAGACTAAACACCCCAACTCCAGGTAGCCATGGAGTTCATAGGATGATTGAGCAAGCTGAATGCCACAAAAAGCCTGCAAGTGACTGCATTTGCTCATTTTAGCGCAACATTGACTGTGGCGGAGGTGGCAAGCCTCTTGCTTGAAGTATCCGCATGTTCTCTTCATAGCCTGGGAAGGAGCCGAAGAGACTTTCGTGAACGCGCGGACAGGAATGTACTTCCCAAATCTCATCAGATAACACAGGATTCATGGGGGCTTCAAACTCAAATACAGGAGCAAGCACACGACCAGGTGTGAATAGCGTACCTCGTTTTGGGTCCCATCCTCGATTCTTAAGCTCTCTAATTTCTTGAGCGATGGAACAGCACAAGCAAGCGCAATGCATTAAGCAGTCACCGCAGGGACGCGGAGGTAAAACGTATTTCTGTCGTAGCTTGTTCCGAACTCCTGTCAGTTCAAAGGATTCACCGAGTCAGCGATACAGAAAGAGGTACCAGGAGGAGTGGAATGGACGAAACATGAGAATCTTAATTTGATTACTTGCTCGCTCACAAAAGAAACCAAAGGCAGAACCCCTTACCTTGAGAATAAAGGCATCCAAGCATTACTAATTGGAAGAGGAAGAATAGACAGCACGATGTCGTCGCATCTGTTCAAAGTTGACCCAATAAGAGAACGGAATTGATCATGGGTTAACTTCAGTTGAATAAGATAGCGAGCTGTTAATTCACATAACGAAAGACGCGACTCGGGGGTAATACGAGAAAAGGCAATGCGGCTCTGCGGGAGCGGGAGTTCGTAAGTGTAGCTAACCTGAGTCGCCGTCGGTGACGATTTCTGTTGTTCGCCCCACGAGGACGCACGGACAAAAAAACGCACAGCACGCTGGCCACACGATAATAAACAAGGGCACAGAGAATCCAAACCGTCAGCTACCGTACGTACGAACTGCTGAACAAGCTATCTAGAAGTAAGAGCTGGAGCACAGCACCAACGACATGATGACTGCATCTCAGTGTCGAAGGACCTACTGGTTGCACAATCTTCGTGGCAATCAGTGCATGACGTCGTCCAGTCACCTATAGGCACACCGTAACCCATCCTGCAGTCAACTAACGCGAACCTGTTCCGCCGAAGTCCTCCACAATATGCTACCGCCTAATGTCGTTCCCGATGTCTCCGTAATTCGTACATAGTACAGCCTAGTGTCCCAGACGCCAATCCAACCCTAGGCAAGTTATTCTTCTCAAACCGGATGATGGAATCGCCTCGGATACGTAAGCGGAGAGACGACACCAGACGATCTACAACAAAACGCGTTTGTCAACTATACCTGTCTCTCCCTCCCTCTGGTCTGGTGCCTTCTCGCTGACACGGGCAAACGACGGATTCGGTTCTGTCAACCTGCACTGCACACCAATTCCCCGCGATGCTTTCTCGGAGAGCACAGTGGATTGTCAGGCTCGGAGAGCGCCAGAGCAGACTACGTACTGACAAAACAGTCCGATTGGTGAAGTAGGTTCGATGACTCCAAGGAATCAGATTGGTGTAGCGATACCTCGAACCTGACGACTGAGGGAACTAACGAACTACGCTGGCTGCTTTAGAGGGAACGAGCCATGCCACTAGACAGAGGAGGGTGAGAGGTACGGGTGTAGTTACGGCAGGACCAGCCGAAACCGTGCGGGAAAGAACTCAACTGCTGCTGCTCTGTCCCCGCCAAGTGGGACGAATAGAACCGAGACCTAATCTTCCTCCTAATTCTACACTGAATCAGAGTAGCAGATAATCGGGACGAAAATAATGTTTCCATTTCAGACAAGTACTAATGTAGACTGATTTAATTTATCCATCCAGATTGTCACATACTATGGCAACCACATATTGGAATGGCAGACACACCCTATTAAAAGGACATGCCTTCAGCTTATGACGACACAATACCCAACCTGCTCCTGCACGCAAAAACGGAGTTCAAGGTGAGGAGCCCGCACAACAACAACAATTTCAACCCAACGCATGCAACACCTCCATCCTCGCACCTTAGATCTTGTTGAAGGCCACAATGTCGCAGCTCTGAATGAACTCCGCCGCCTCGCCCTCCTGCAGGTGGTCCTCAATGAGCTCATCCAGCGACACAAGGTCGTCCACAATGGTCATCATGATTGTCATCTTCTTGATGCCGTACCCGACGGGGACCAGCTTGGCTGCAAAGCGTACCACGCAAGGAACAAAGCATGAAGATATTCACAGGAGCAGCAACCAAGGTGAATCAACAAAATAGAAATACACAACTAAGTCTCCCTTCTCATGATGCAGAGGACCTCGGAAAGCAACAGCATCTGACCATAACCCATACTTGCCTCAACCAAGCCTCTCACTTGTACGACGCCTGACAACTCCCCATAAACTTCAGTGTAGTGTACATTCTGAAAACAGAAGGAACGGGGCAGAGTACTCACAGGCGCCCCAGAGCAGGCCGTCCATCTGCACCTTGCGCACGGCCGCCTCCATCTTGGCCATGTCCGTCTCGTCGTCCCACGGCTTCACGTCCAGCAGCACCGACGACTTGCCGCCTGCCATACACGCAACAGGCATACGCACACCACATCAGTTCAGTCACGTCACACGCGGCCGTTCGCATCGCACGTTGTGGAGGCCCGAGAGGCACAGCCATAGGCGGAAAACCCCGTACAGATTTTGATCGCACTGTTCAGGCATAGGGTCAGGCCAGGAGGTGACTCACTCTCCTTCTTCTTGCCCGACGCGGCCGCCTTCGCCTCGCGCTCGGCCGCGGCGGCCTTCTCCTCCTCCGTGGCCTCGCCGAACAGATCCAGATCGTCGTCGTCCTCCTCGTCCTGCCAACGCACGGCCACAAGCATGAGCGAGGAAGGGGAAGGGATGCGTGAAGGGGAGGGTTTACAGTAGGTGGCAAAGCCGAACAGATCCAGATCGTCGTCGTCCTCCTCGTCCTGCCAACGCACGGCCACAAGCATGAGCGAGGAAGGGGAAGGGATGCGTGAAGGGGAGGGTTTACAGTAGGTGGCAAAGCCGAACAGATCCAGATCGTCGTCGTCCTCCTCGTCCTGCCGCCACACGGCCACAGGCAGGAGCGAGGGAGGGTTGGGGGGGTAAGGGGAGGGTTTACAAATCCAGGTCGCCTCGCCGAATAAGGGTTTTCAAAAAGTCTGGATGGTGCCCGACGACGGCAGCAATGCGTGGTGAGACTGAGAGATCTGACTTCTAGATGCGACACTATCACGTGCGACGGGGTTTGAGATTGTCTGGTGTGGACACTGCCAGCTCCAAGCCGGAATTGAGCTTGAAGCGTCGGCTGCAGCACGCCAATCGACAACACGCTGCATGATGCATGCGGCATGCTGTTACTTGCTCTGCGGTCCCCTTTACAACACATGCACTCATCACTCTCGCGCACGGTCAAGAATAAGGACAGCGTTAAATCACGACATGTCAGTCTCTCCACGGCCTGACCCTAATATATCAGAGTATCAGCCAGATCCGTTAACCAGATCCGCAGCATGTATCAGCCGCGCACCTCAGATCATCGGCGTACCTCAGCGGGCTTGGCCTCGGCAGCGGGAGGAGTGGCGACAGCTGCGGTGGGAGCAGCGACCGCAGGGGCAGCACCGCCGATCACCACACCCACGCCAGTACCGGCGAAGCTGGAAACAGAAGGATAGTGAGTAGATAGCGGGCAGACGGAAAGATCAGACGAACGAGCGACGCTACGATAACAGCGACAAGGAACCGCACCATGTATCAAACAATCACAAAAGACCAAGGATGAGGTATCGGCGCGGACGAGGGATGTAATTATGGCGGTAGATCGGCGGGAGAAATGCAAAAAAAATCGATCAGACAAGCCTAACTCACGTGAAGACTAAGAGCCTTCGAGATCGCTAATTTACTCGAAAAAAACATGCGGTACGAATGTAGCGAACGGCTCACTTTGCACCGAGCAGCGCCTTGATGTGCGTGAACCACCGGGCCGCGTTGGTGTAGCCCTTGGGGAACGACTTAAGCGCGCTGTAGACCGTGAGGTCATCGCGAGATGCCTGGAAGCTGCGAGGTGAGAAGAGATTGGAAAGGAGATGGCAGTGCACGCATATTCATAATTGGAGAAGCACACATGAAGAAAAAGAAAACAGGAACGGGGGGAGAGGAGGGGGGAGGGAGGGGGGAAAGAGGGGGGGAGGGGGGGAGAGGATGGGGATGCGAGGAAAGATGCGGTTAGTGAAATGGGTTGGGAGGCGCGTCGAGATCTCTGGAACAGAAGGGCCTTATCGACGCAAACCCTGACCCCCCTCAAGGATCCATACCCAGAGATGTAGCTGCGGGTGAGGAGGTACTCGTCGAGCTCCTTCAGACCAGCAGGGGTCGACAGATCACCGAAGGAGATCGACATAGTGGGTGCGTTGTGTGAAATTGAAGACAAGAGAAGGCAACGAGAGTGGACACAGCTGAGCTGTGAAGGGAAGTGGGAGACTGGAAAGTAAAAGAAAACGAAGGAAAGGAAGCGAGTGACAGTGAAAAATAAACCGGCCATGTATTTTCATCTTTTCGCGCGGGACATGGGGATGTAGCTCAGATGGTAGAGCGCTCGCTTAGCATGCGAGAGGTACGGGGATCGATACCCCGCATCTCCAGTCTTGCATTCACTGTTTGAATGGAAGGATCAATTTTCTCGGAAATGTTTTCATGAGGGGTCAGCATAGGTTCTGAGAATCTTTGGATGCAATAATATTGGTTTCAGTGCGGTGGCGGATCGATATTGGACAATCGATCGCCCTATGTAACACGCCGGGCTATAAGAAAGGAGCTGATTACTACAAGGCTGAAAACGTTTATGAGCTTATGAGCTTCTATTGGGATGATTATGGCAATACGTTCCACAACCGTAAAGCAATCACGTACATTAGCCATGACAGTTGATGGTATTTTTTTAATCCTTGCGAGAAACTTGCGTGACATGTTACAACACCTTAGGAGAGGCAAAGTCGATGAGCGAGTGATAAACATTAGCATAGCCATGTCAATTACATATATACAACTAGTTCAATTATACGTAGATCACAATGCATCAATCCAATATATCGTTATCAAAATACATTACAAGAATTGTGGAGTTGAGACCAGGAAAAAAACGAATGAACAATACCATATGAGAACCACACTATCGCCAATAACAACAATCTGTATCAGCATACAGCTGTAAAGTTACCAAAGCAATTCAAAGGTGTGCTTTGGAGCGTACAGTTCAGGACTCTCTCAGCCACACATATTCTATCTAGGCTGTGTGTACCCACGCTCCGAGCCTGAGAGAGTCACCCTCCCGTTTCCAGCAACCAAAATCGAGGTGCTTCATGAGCCACGTATTTTACCCCAAAGGTTCGGTCCCTGGTTTGTGTCAAGCCAGGCTCCTCTGGAGCTCCCTTTCCAGATCAGATCAACCTGTTGGCCAACTTGTAAAGTGCACGACGCTTTTCCAAGAACCCATGGAAGATCCAACGGCCGAGGTCGCTCCTGTATTTTGTGGCTGTGGCTGGTTGGGAATTTTGTGTCTGGCATGGCATGCACCTGTGCCGAAGCACGCAGCAGCAGCACCAGCTTCCGGCTAGGCTTCAGCCAGGGAGAGCCAGGAGGAGCCATATGCATTCTGTGCTTCTCTTGTTCAGTGACATGAACACAACAAGTAAACTCACCTCACCAACTGCCGAAGATGTTGATCTTTCACGGATATTTTGTTCCTTCTTGAAGCTTGCACGAGAGCGGATGTTGAGAATATCTGCAGTTTCACTAGCTGTTTATGGAGTTTCCCTTTACCATCAACTCCTGGTGGACCCTTAGCTTCTGCCGGAGCTGTGTGAGTTGTAACTAAGTGTCATGGATCCTCAGAATCAGTCTATTCCAGGCACAATGGAGCCCAGTCCCGAGGCGCCGTCAACCGTAGTACCGGCGACAGAGGCGCAAGCCGTATTCCACTTTAATTTTCGTCCGTTCCCCTTCTTGCTAGTCCTCGTCGGCCCGCCAGGCAGCGGCAAGAGCAGATTTGCGGGACTCTTGATCGCGGATGCCGCGTTACGATATGAACGCGTTTGCCAGGTCTGCCTCGCTAACTGCTCTTCGATTCTAGAGAACAGAGAGCCGTCATTCAGGTCACGAAGAATCAGTAGTTCTATCTGTTAAGAAGATTTCGTTCACGCGGTCTGACATCAAGTATTCGTGAAGTATTTTTAGGACAGCGTCGGATTACGACACTGAATGCCATGATACAGTTTGAATTTCACGCTTATTTGACATGCCCTGAGTCATGCCACGTGGGCATGCTGGAGGTTTGGAGATGAGACTGCACCAGTTTCCGTTGCTGTCCATTCTAGCCAACCTGTGACGCTCCTTCCTCATGCGATTTCTGATTTCAGGACGTGGCGTCAGCGCGAGGGACTCCTGGCACTCGGAAGCAGTGTTTGGCGCAAGTGAGTGTTACCCGTTCGTTTTCCGAACCTTGGAGTTACTTTTGAGAATACTCAGAAGTAACGCTAACGAAGATGTGCTTGGCGCAAGTGCGTTTTGACCGTTCGTTCCCCTATCCTTCTGGCTGTTCAGTGCGTGCTCGCTGCAAGTTCACACGAGTTTTGTTGCATTTCATTCCGCATTGACTGGCATCTGTCATCGTCAGCCAGTGATTGTCAATAAATCTGATCGGCCATGCGAATCCGCTCTCCCTTACTCTCTTACGTTTCACACTCATCCCTCTCACTCTCCCTCCATCTCCCGCTCACCTCGAAGGTGAGACGGCACCTCCTGTCCGGGGCGAGCGTGGTGCTGGATCGCTGCAACATGAGCGTGGAGCAGCGCGCCGAGTTCCTCCCTCGCACGCTATTTCTACCTCCCCCCCTTGAATCGCGCTCGTCCTTCTCACTCTCCCCCTATCTCTCATTCACGTCGCAGGTGAGACGACACCTCCAGTCGGGGGCGAGCGTGGTGCTGGATCGCTGCAACATGAGCGTGGAGCAGCGCGCCGAGTTCCTCGCGCTCTCGCGCGCCTGCAACGTGCAGTCGCACGTGCTCGTGTTTGAACTTCCTGTGGCGCTGGTAGTGCAGCGCGCGGTCAACCGAGTCAACCACGAGGGCGGCGTGCAGGTGAGAGGGGAGGAAGGCAATTGAATTATCTGAAGTAAGGAATTAACCGCGTTCACCACGAGGGCGGCGGAGTAGTATAGTTGACCGACGTGTGCTTGTAAGTCCTCAACTCGCACCCCTCTCTGCCTCCCACCCTGCAGGGTCCCAGGGCTGCGGGCATCATACGGCACCAGATGAAGATGCGCGAGCCGCCGGCTGCGACCGAGGGCTTTCAGCGCGTCACTGTGTGCCGCACCGACGCCCATGTCGACCAGGCGCTCTCCTTCTACCGCGCGCTCTGCCCTTCCGCTTTCACTTCTGCCAGTGGTGGTGGTGGTGCTGAGGGTTCTGGCGTGGTGGGGCTGCAAGGGGCGGGCGGAGGAAACCTGGAGGTGCGGGGGATGCAGCAGAGGCACGGGGGAGAGGAGCTAGACGCGCGGGTACGGGAGATGCATCTGGGGCACTGGAGAGCGGGGGAAGATGCGCAAGCGCAGGGACAGGGAGCAGAGGGGGCAGAGGGAGCGAGGCAGGGAGGTCGGGAGGGCCCAGGGCGTGTATGGTGGCAAGGGCGTGCGGAGAACCAGCGGGTGAGCACAGACGCACCCTCCCACGGTGTAGTGTGTAGCCATGCTGCTGCTACTGCTCCTCTCGCTGCTGCTACTGCTCCTCTCGCTGCTGCTACTGCTCCTCTCGCTGCTGCTACTGCTCCTCCTGTCCCTGCTACTATAGGTGCTCCTCGTGTGTTGGGATCTGATCCTCCCTTTTCTGCTGCCGCCACGCCAGGGACCGAGGAGCAACCGGCCGCTCTGGGAGCGAGGGGGCGAGGGGAGAGGGAGGGGGAGGGGGAGGGGAATGGGAATGGGGATGGGGAGGGGGGTAGGAGCGTGGCGGAGGGTGGGGGAGGGAGAGGAGGGTATGGGGACGGGGAGGGGATGGATCTAGTGAAGGGCTGTGAGAAGAAGTGGGATGGGGAGGGGAAGGGAAGGGGGGGAGAGAGAAGAGGAGAGAAGGAAGGCGATGGGGATAGGGAGAGACGAGTGAAAGAGGGAGCAGGAGGAGGAGGAGAGAAGCAAAAGGCATTGGGAAACCGAGGAGAAGAGGAGAAGAAGCAAGTGCGAACCATGTGGTTCGGTCAGAGTGAAGGTGCGGCTAGTAGGGTAGACGTAGGCGTGGGAGCAGTAGAGCCACGTGCTGCTGTAGCTCCTGCTGTAGCGAATGCTGTAGCAAATGCTGTAGCTGCGGCTGTAGCTGCTGCTGTGCCTGCAGCAGAGGCAGTGACAAGTAGAGCAATGGAAGGTAGGAATGTGGGCACAAGTGGAGTGGGCAATAGTGGCCCGTCACAGGCTGGAGTGTATGATGTCAGGCGGTTCTTCTGTGCTAAACCGCAACAGGAAGCTGCTATTAACGGGGATGGGAGAGGGGGCAGCAGTGGAGGGAGGAGGGATGGCGTTGATGGATGGAGATGCGACAAACATGGGGAAGCAACAGCAGCAGCGCAACACAGTGAGAAGGAGGAGCAGCAGAAGCAGCAGCTGAAGCAGCAGCAGGAGCAGAAGAAGCAGAACGAGGAGGAGCAGCAGGAGCAGCTTCGTGTGCAACCATTGAAGTGTGAGATGGAGCAACGTTGGAAGAGAAGACGAGTGAACACGGATGGCGAGAGATGCGCAGGTGGGAGGACATTCTCTTTTCCCTGGCCCCCTTCCTCTTACCCTTCCATCCCTCGCTTTATAACCTCCAACCTCGGCCTCACATCTTTCTCCCAGTTCTCTTCTCCGTTACCATCTCTTGAAGCGCTAAAGGTCACGTGTGCTGCATGCCTGCTACGAGTCCCTCTTTCTCGAACGGTCCTCACCCGCGCCCCTCGTCCCCTCCGTCTCCCTCTCTCACTGCCCCGCGTGCTGCCGCTGCTTCTAGGGTGCAGGCATCTTGGACGGGCGGGAGGAGGGCCCTGTGGATGGGCGGGGGGAGGGTTGCGCGGATGGGCGGATGGAGGGTTGCGCGGATGGGCGGATGGAGGGTTGCGCGGATGGGCAGGGGGATAGCCGAAGAGAGGGGGGTGAATGGCGACATGTGCAGGCACGTGGGAGTGTGGAGGGCTTGTATGGGTTGAGGCAAGACGGATGTGAGCAGATTGCTCCTGCTGCTAACGAGGGGGCTGAGAAGAACGATGGTCGACAAAGAGGAGGAGAGGGAGAAGGCAAGGAGGGTGAGCAGGAGCAGCAGAGACAGGAGCGCAGAGGGCACTGGAAGGTGCACGGAAACCGGGGGGAGGAGAGGGGCGATGAGCAAGAGGAGGAGGAGCAGCAACCTCCGCAGCAGAAAGAACAGCAACAAGCGCAGCAGCAGGAGGCAGCAGCGCGGTGGGTACTGGCGTTTCCGTCCATCTCAACGGCTGATTTCAAGTTTGACAGGGAGAGGGCGGCTGCAGTGGTGCTAGACTGCGTCACTGAGTTCCTCTGGCGCAACGGGGGCAGCAGCCACGGCAGCACCACTGCCAGGAGTGCGGGCGAGGGCAGAGTGGGTGGGGAGGGTGGTGAGGGTGGTGGGGGTGGTGTGGGTGGTGTGGATGGTGTGGGTGGTGGTGTGGGTGGTGAGGGTGGTGTGGGAGGTGAAGGTGGTGTGGTGGGAGAAGGAGGAAGGGAAGGGAGCAGGTTTGAAGGGATGGTTACAAGTGGTGGCGGTGCTGCCGCCGCCGCTGCTGACGATGGTGGTGGTGGTGTGGTTGTTGGTGTGGGCGCTTATGTTAGTGCTGCCAGTGTTGCTACTGCCGCTGCTTCTGCTGCTGCTGCTGCTGCAGCTGCTGCTGTAAGGGATGCACGGAGGCAAGGGGGCAACGGCAATGGGAACGGTGACAGTAACGGTGCCAGCGGCATGGGAAGCTGCAGCGTCAACGGAAACGGAGGTGACAATAACGGTGCCAGCACCAGACACGAACAGCCTGCAGCAGCAGCTAAAGAAACACCCTCAGCACCTGGAGAAGCGAGACAAACATCACCACCTGTAGCACCAGAGAACAGACAAAGATCGCCGGCTGGCGGCAACACATCGTCTACAGTGTCTGACTCCCCGCCCAAGCAAGAGACGCTTGAGCGCCAGCCAATCCTGGACCTGGTATTGGTGGATCTCTCCCCCTCCTCTGACATGCTGAGGCGAGTGAAGCGCCTGGCTCGCCAAAGGGGGCTGCCATTCGTTGAATCTGGACGGCTTAGGCGAGGAGTGGATGGGAGGGGCGAAAGGGAGGATGAAGGGAGAGTCGGCGTGGCAAGAGGAGGGCCAGTCGAGGGTCGAACAGGAGAGGCTGCCCCTGCTACAGCTGCCCCTGCAGCAGCTGCTGTCACTGCTGCTGCTGCCACCACTGCTGCTGCTGCAGCCACTACCGCTGCTCTTCCTGTTGCTGCTGCTGCGGGTGGGGGCAAGGGTGCTACTGGCACCGGGGCCGGCGACGTGTGTGATGGCACTGGTGCTGGAGAGAGGGGTAGAGAGGGAAGGAGGGCGGGCAGAGGTACTGACAGGGACACGTGGGATGACAGCACACGTGGCAGATTCATCCTGCATGCTGGGGATATAACGAAGATGAGGTCGGATGGCAGGATGGAATGCCACGTCATCGCAAACTCGGCCAACTGGTATGATGACGTGGCATGGCATGGGTTGCTGTTTGCACACATGCATCGGCACATACAGTAGCATTTGGTGCATGTCCATCCTTGGCATGTGTCAACCTTGTTTTTCTATATACATATTATTGTATGCGTCCAGCATCTTTCCATTATCTGCACTGCTTAGTACACTATACAGAACGAATTATTGACAATGCTGTGCTGTGCGGTGCTGTGCGGTGGGTCTGTGTGTGTGCTTGCAGCCGTCTGTTACCAGGTGGGGGCGGAGTGAATGCAGCCATCCACAGTGCTGCCGGCCCAAGCCTCATTGAGGCTACACGACGGAAGTGGCAGCAGCAGCAGCAGCAGCAGCAGCAGCAGCAGCAGCAGCAGCAGCAGCAGCAGCAGCAGCAGCAGCAGAGGCAGCAGAGGCAACAGAATGAGACCCAGCAGCAGCAGACAGGGATGCAGGAGAAGCAGGATCGCCTTGGGCAGCAGCAACTTCAGGATCAGCAGACGCAGCAGCAGCAGCAGCATGGGGAGCATGAGGGGCAAGGGCAATACCAGGCGCAGCAGAAACCAAGTGGGGAAACGCACCAGTCTCACTTACAACAAGAACTGCATCAGCCTCCCCGGTCCCAACCGCACTCCCCTCCTCCCCAACCCCATCCCCTCCTGCTCTCCCCAGGCTCTGTTCTCTCCGCGCCCCTCCCCATCTCCTCCCCTCTGCGCGTGCGTGAGGGGGTAAGGCACGTGGTGAACGTGGTGGGACCCAATATGAACCCCCGCCGCCCCAACTGCCTGGACGGTGACTATAACGAGGGGGAGAGGCTGCTCAGGTCCGCGTATGGGGCGCTCTTTAGAGAGTTCCGCCTGCTGGCCAAGGGGGGAGAGGAGGGGCGCGCAGAGAGGGGGGGCGGAGGGGAGGAGGGAGTGGGGAGAGTGGGGGCGAGGGAGAGGGGTGGAGAGGGGGAGAGAGGGGTGGAGATGGGTGGGGAAGGGCGAGGAGGTTGGAGGGGTGTGGGAGGAGGTCTGGTTGGGAAAGGGGTATTGGATGGAGCAGCAGAGGGTGCGACAGGGGAAGAAGGGCGGATGGTGAGGCGGGTTGAGGAGGCACGAGATGGGCTTGCAGGGACGAAGGTTAGAGAGTCGGTGGGAGGAGAAGAGAGAGGAAGGCAGGAGAGAGACAAGGGTGGGTCGTGGGAGGGTGGGGCAGGTGGCGGAGTGGGGATGAGGAGAAGGGGGAGTGGTGCTGGGGGTGATTATGGAAAGGGGAAGAGGAAAGCTCGTGAGGGTGAGGGTGAGAGGGACGAGGTCGACAAGACGAGAGCAGTGGGAGCGGGGAGTAAGAGGAGAAGGGGCGAGGAGGGGGGGGGGTGAGAGGGAAGGCGAGGGGAGTAGGGAGCTCGAAGGGAAGGAGATGGAGGAGGAGATTGAGGAGGAGATGGATGATGCGACGCGAAGGGAGGAGGGGTTTGGAGGAGAAAGGAGAACAGGGGGACAGGAGACTTTGGGAGGGATAGGGAGGGAGCAGCAGCAGCAGCAGCAACAGCAACAGCAACAGCAAGGCAGGGAGGATACAGGCACGGGGAAGGGTGAACCTGCACGAGATGCCTTTGCGGTGCTGATGGGGAGGGGCAGGAAGAGAAGGGCCGATCACCAGGTTCGGGTTGATGCCGAGGCCGCTTCACACGTCCTTCCCGAAGCTAAGCTACAGGAGCGGGATGCGGAAATGACAACTGGCATTGACACGGTGGCCCCGCTTCCTCCCACCATTGCTCGTGTTTCCACCACCGACTTATTCGCACCTCCAGCAGAAGAGCTTGCAACCGCGGCATTACCAGCGACAGCAGCACCAGACGCACCAAGCGCAGCCGCACTAGCTGCCGTTGCAGCAGTAGCAGCCACAGCTGGAGAAGCAGGCGCAGAAGTAGCAGGAGTAGCAGCATCAAGTGCAGCAGCGGCAAGCACAGCAGCGGCAGGCGCAGCAGCAGCAGGCGCAGCAGCGGCAGGCGCAGCAGCGGCAGGCGCAGCAGCGGCAGGCGCAGCAGCGGCAGGCGCAGCAAGAAAGAAGGCAGCATGGGACAGGGGGCACCCCAGGGGGAGAGGCAGAGGCATAGCGTGGATCCACAGCACCAGCAACCCGCCCTGGCCGTGGATGCTGGCTGAGGCTGCTGATCCAACGGCTCAGATGGTGCAAGAGATTCGTATGCCTACAGGGGATGGTGGTGATGATGGTGGTGGTGGCGCTGCTGCTGCTGCTGCCCCTGCTTCTGCTGTACAGTTGAAAGCAGCAGCAGCAGGAAAGAGAGGGCCAACAGCAGCAGAGGCACGAGCAGAGGCAGACGCACGAGCAGTAGCTTTGGCACGAGCAGTGGCAGAAGCAGCAGGGAAAGAAGCCTTTGATCCAGCAGGGAGGCCAGAAGGGGCCATGATAGCCCAAGCTCCCTCCCCAACCACCGTTATGTCTTTCACCACCTCTACCACCCCTAGCAGTGACACTGGCACCGCTTCCACGTCAGCTGGGGCCGACTCCACGTCAGCCAGAGCCGATTCCACGTCAGCAGGAGGCGAGCGGGGGTTCTGGTCGCGGGGTGACAGCTCAGCAGCTGCTGCGGCGGCTGCTGTGGCGACAGGTGCTACTAGTGAAGGCTGGGGGGTTGGTGGGTCGTATGGTAGAGGGAGTATGAGGAGGGAAGGGCGTAGTGATGGTGTAGAGAGGGAAGCAAGGCGAAGGGAAGGTGATGGTGGTGAGCTGGGAGTTCGAATGGGTGCTGAGGAGTTGACTGGGCGAGAGATGGGGGCAATGCGTGAGATGGGGATGGATGAGAGGGTTGATGCTGCTGCTGATGCTTATGGGGGAGAGGAGGCAGAGGGGGCTGTTCGTTTGAATCGTGATGGTGGCAGGGGCAGTGACTATATAGCATCACTTATGGCACCACCAGCAGCAACTGAAGACGTTCCAAGTGTTGTTGATTCCCCTCCAGCGGCTCAGGTGCCCTCTGTGAACCCCCAGGTGGTGCCAACAGAGCGCCAGGTGCCTCTAGCAGACGCTCAGGTGTTGTTGTCTGCAACAGGCCACTCCACTGCACCACCAAGACCCACCTCAGGACCAGCATCAGTCTCCCGCCCGCCCACTAGAGCGCAGGCTGGGGCGCAGGCTCGGGCCGAGGCTAGAGCTCAGGGTAGGGCCCAGGCTGGGGCGTGCAGTGTTAATGAGGCAGCAGCACGTTCACGCCCAATGTCAACCCCTGCTCCTCCTCCCCGCCCTCCCCTTCCCCGTGCTCCTGGGGAGTTGGAGCGGGCAGGAAGTGCAGGCAGGCAGACAGCAGGAGAGGCGAGGTTGGGCAATGTAGGTGGGGGGGCAGGGGAGCAGCCCCTTGGCGTGTGGGTGGGCCGGGGAAGGGCAGCATTTCGACCGAATCTTGATAGGGTGGCAGAGGAAGAGGGGCGAGACGGGGGGATGGGCAGGGGTGGAAATGTGATGGATGAGGAGGAAAATATTTTCCAGAGAGAAGGTAGGGAGGAAGGGAGAGGTGAGGGGGAAAGTGGGGAGGGTGTTGGAGGGGGGAGGAGAGAGAGCGGCAGTGAGGGGGTGAGGGGAGAGAGGGGCTCTGGAGGCGGGATGCAGTGGTGGAGGAGGAGTGAGGGGAGGGGGGTGAGAGGAAGTGAGAAGGGAGGAGAAGCAAGAGGAAATGCCGGCGGTGGTGGGGGTGATGGAGGAGGAGGGGGAGGGGGAGAGGGAGGAGGCGGTGGTGGTGGTGGTGGTGACGGTGGTGGATGTGGGGGGGGAGGGGGAGGAGGTGGAGGAGGGGGAGGATTGGGGGGAGGGGGAGGAGGAAGGGCAAGTGACATGCAAGGGGGAGGTGGGAGCGGAGGAGGAGCAGGGAGCGGAGGGGACGGAGGAGGCAGGGAAGGGGGAGGCGGCAAGCGCAAGGAGGGGCACGGGGGGGCAGAAGGTTCCTGGAAGCACGCGCTGAGGGACATTGCGATGCGGCCTGAGAGGCACGGCGATGTGGTGCTGTTTGCTGATGCCTCCGTGGTGGTCATTCGCGATAAGTACCCCAAGGTGAGATGGCCTTTGAGTCGACTCAAACGTCACTTCGTTTGCAAATGGCTCTGTGCTGGTGATCCGTGATAAGTACCCCAAGGTGAGTGAGCTCTTGCTGTACCACCCCAAGCTGGATGGTCAGTCTGCATCACTCTCAGCTGCCAAGGGCATTCCTGTTTCGAATGAGAAACACACTGCTTCATGAAACACCAAGGTTCAGGGTTCAGGTTCCCATGGTCAGGGTGTGTACGGTACAGAGCTTAAGACTGGGGGTTGAGACTGGAGACGTGGTTCCCCCTTATTCTTCCCTATCCTTCCCCGTCTTAACGCTCCCTTCGCCATCTTAACCGATCCTTCCCCATCCTTCCCCTCACCTCACTCGACGCCAGGCCCGGCACCATCTGCTGGTGATCGCACGAACGGACGGTGTGGATCGCATCATAGACGCCACAGCGACAGATCTACCTCTGCTGCGCCACATGCTGGCAGTCGGGCAGCTCTGGGCGGCACATTCCGTCTCACCCTCCTCCTCCTCCAACCCCACTCTCGGATCCCACAATGCGCCTAACCCAACTCCTGCCTCTCGCGCTGCACCACAACAAGACAACTTGCCACAGAAACCACCTGAAAATTCTCCTGATGCTGCGCCTCCAGGAGTGTCAGGTGCTGCTTCAGGTGATCGGCCAGCTGCGGATCCAGGCAGTGAAGGCGAGCATGCGAGGGAGAAGGCTCTGCCTGGGAAGGGAGGGCTGGGTGTGCCTATAACGAGGGGCCCTGGGCCAGGTGTGACAACAGCAGGGTCATCGCCACCTCAGCCACTGCGCTTCCGATTTGGCTTCCACCAGGTAATCCTGCATTCTCTGTCACGCGCCCTATCAACCCCCACCACGTAATCCTGCACGCCTGTCAATCAGCCCACCCTCACCAGGTGATCCTGCATGTCCAATCAACCTACACCAGGTAATCCTGCATGCAAAGTTGGCCCATGCCTGGGCTCCTCTCGTTCAATTGTATTGATAATGTACATCCATGCATGTGTGCTGTGTGCCTCAGGTGCCATCCATGCACCAGCTACACCTGCACGCCATAAGTCAGGACCTGGACTCGCCCCACCTGAAGCACAAGAAGCATTGGAACTCCTTCGCCTCGCCCTTCTTCCGGGATGCCCTTCAGGTGAATTTTCTTCAGGTGATTTTTTTTCAGGTGAATTGCCTCCAGGTGAAAATCTCTTGGTGTATTTCCTCCTTCATGTAGATTGCCAGCAAAAGGTTGCCCCTTAGGTGAGTCTGCTGTAAGGTTGCCATGCTTTGGGACGCACATGTTAGTTATTTTGAAACCTCCACCTTGCTGTGTAGCTTTTCTTTAACCCGAGTGTGTATCCTTTCGTCAATTTCTGGGCTTGTTACCTGCATAGATATGTGCTGGTCGGCTGTTGACTCTTTCCCCTTATTGTTCCTTGTCATTCTTTCCCCACTACATGCTATAGATTTTTGCCTGATCGTCCTTGCATCCTTCACCCCCTGAAACCCATCAGGTGATTTCCCAGATAGAGCAGCACGGCCATGTGCTGCCAGCTCTGCCGTCCACCCACATCTCCTCGTCTGTAGCCAGACAGAATCTCTTCCCAGGCTCGGGTGAAACCTCCCCCAGGGCTCCCCCCGTTGCTGCAGGGGCAGGAGCGGGAAAAGGGAGTGGAGCAGCAGTAGCAGAGGGTGTAGCTGTAGCAGCAGCAGAGGCATTGGGTGGGCTGGCAATAGCAGGTGATGGAGATGGTAAGAGTGGAGAGAGGGTGGCAGGTGAGGAGTCTCGAAAGGCTGTAGCAGGTGCTGCTGTTGCAGCACGGTCACGGTCAAGGTTGGGTGCTTCTGATGAGCTTGTAGGAGCCTTGGAGAAAGAGGCTCGGCATCTGCTTCGGCACGAGCTTCGGTGCCACCGATGCCACAGCGTGCAGCCGAACCTCCCGAGGTTGAAGACGCATATTCGTACTTGTTCTGCACCCATGCCGGGTACCCAAGTTGGCCTGGATAGCAGTGGTGGTGATGTGGTTGGTGGTAGCAGTGGTGGTGGAGGTGGGTCAGATACTAGGAACTAGATGCCACAAATTTCTAAGCTAATCCAGGAATTGTTGCGATTGAGCAATATTTAGGACTAGTTATTAGAACACATTTAGACAAGTTACAAGTCATCGTTAGAAGTCTGTCTGAACTCCGTGGTTATGTGTTTGTATCAAGCTTCTCTATGTGATGGTAAATATCGGAGACGGTTTCTTCCAATTGTCAGGCCGTCGATCGCAGCCGTAGACCCACTTCGCTTATACAGGTGGCAAAACAAAAACCGTGGATGTACTTTGTGGTTGCAGTTCCATCGAGGTTTACTCCAGCAAGCTTCGAGCATGCGGCATTGTGTGGCTTGCCTGAAGCTTTTGTTACACAAGAGACGGAGAGGAAAAAAGCAGCAGTAAATCCATTTCACAAGCCGCCTGTCAGAAGAACCGTAAACTCTTGGAGCAAAACGCGAGTTCTCGCGACCCGTTAGCAGACTCAAACACTTTGAAGGTAAGAAGATGCACACGTTCTATCCTCAAGAGTTCTGTGGGTGTGAATAAGGCTGCTGAACAAAAAGTATTTTGATGTGTTCAGGATCAATGCTGAAGGGCGTGGTAAACCGAAGTTATAACACTAGAAACGCATCGGCTTCATTAACGCCCTTTCTGGATTCTCGATGTCGTGTTGAGATGGATTCGCGAAGTCCAGGCGAAGGGTCAGCCTTTCCCTTACAATCCCTTCCCGACGAGCTCTTGCTGCAATGCCTAGCTCGCGTTTCCTCCGATTCAGACCCAGGATGCCTGCGACTCCGGGGGGTTTGCGGAAAATGGAGGAAGTTGCTGACATCAGATAGCTTTCTGGATCTCAGACGTCAGGTCGGGAAAGCGACAGAGTGGTTGGTGACTCTGACTTGGCGAATTGAGGGAGGATTGCTCTGCAAGCTGTTCGACTCGCTCACCACCAAGTGCCAGGTTGGTAGTCCGCTCGTTTATTTCTTTAACCTTTTTTTTTTAAGTAAGATTGCATACACGACCTCGTTGTGAGTGTTTTTTTCCAAGCCGTTCTTGTTCCACCACATTATTGATGTGAAGGTTTTCTTGCCTTTCGTGCTGGCCTGTTGTAACTCGTTCTTTGTACATGGCAGAGACTACCATGTTCATTCAACGGTCTTCCCCCGTCCCGCCAATATTTCGGAGTAACTTCAGTCGGTCATACGGTTTACGTTATCGGTGGACAGACCATAGACAACACAAGGATTATGACTGACTTAACCTTCTCTGCCTCAGTTGACTCCTATAACCCACTGACAAACACATCGAGGTCGCTTCTTCCACTCAGAACTCCGCGCAGCAGATTCGCGTGCTGCTCTTCTTCAGACGCAATTTTCGTTATCGGAGGTGTTACCAACGCGTATGAGGTGCTTTCCTCGATTGAAGTGTTCGATTTGAGGCGAGAGTGTTGGCTAGAAGCATCAAGTCTGCCAGCACCCAGACAAGGAGCTCACGCACAGGTTATTGGGAACCGGCTGTACGTTCTTGGGGGTTGTTCATCCCCGTTAGAAGACACAGACCCCAACTACACCCTTTTCGTGTGCGAGCTTCCAATTCTCAGTAGCAGCAGCAGCAGCAGCAGCAGCACCATCATACGATCCAGCAACAGTAGCAGTCAATGCACCACCATCGCCAATTCCAACCTCAACCCCAGACAGGCTCAACGCAGTATCAACTTGGAGTGGAGAGAAGCTGCTATGTTGCCTGTTCCTCGAACTGGTTACCAGACGGCTGTGCTCCACAACAGGCTATGTGTGATTGGTGGTGCAGCAGCTGAACCTGATGGATGGCAAGCAGCAGAGGGTCAAGTGGGAGAAGGAGCAGGTTGGGAATCAAGAGGGTGGGTGTGCTTCAATTTCCCGCTGGTATATGACCCTGGTACAGATGAGTGGAAGCTATGGAGACAGGGTCACAGCAGCGTTCAGCCACTTTCCTCTCATGACTCGTTCTCCTCTCCATCCAACTTCCTGTTGAACCCACCTTCTTCTCCACCTTCCCTTCGGCCAATCACAGGTGCTGAGCACAGGTTGGCGTGCCAGCACAGAGCATGTTATGGTTACCAGAGCAGGGGTTACGCATGTGTAGCCCTCAATGGGGATTTGTTCCTAGTTAGGAGGTGTGACCAGAGTAGGAACAGCTACTGCAGGCACATCCACAAATTTGACATCTCTCTGGCAAATTCAGGGTATGGAGCAGCTTGGGAGTGTATACAAAGGACACGGGCATACTCTTCTCTGCTTACAGAGGCAGGAGATTGCTGGGAGCATTCTGTTGCCATAGCTATTGTTTGTTGATGAAGTGCTTTATGGATGCTGCTGACTCTTCACATTTCTCAGGATTTGAAGGCGTTCATGGGCAGCTGTACTTTAATCCAAGAGGTATACGCAGTGCTTAGTAACGGCTTGTCATGCTTGCTCACACGTATGAGATATTATTGCAGGGGATATACAACTTGAATGGGCACAAGGCAAGAATTGGATTCTGGGTATCTCTTAGTAGGAAAAGGCAACAGAAACATAAACATGAATGTAGTCAGTCCTTCCCAGTGACTTGCTGCATTTTGAATGCAGGATGCACTCATACGGTACTGTGTGTTGCACCCCAAGGCTTTAGGTACGCTTAGAATCCCATAATCCTGCTTGATGGTGGGGCTGGACTACCCTGATGGCAGCACATGAGCCATTGACTGCCTACCTTCTCAAACACGTTCGTTGCCACCACTCTGAGATGGGAGGAGGAAAAACATACGAGTGGGAGTTATAAACCATGCAAACTCCATGCAGGAATCTTGAAGCGAAGAACGACATTTAGTCAGATGCCTAAAGAATAGAACTATTAGCTCTTAATACCCACATGGTGTACCAACCTGCCAGCGGAGCCTGCTGACTTGATGACCTCGACACAAGTCACCACTGCCATGCTGCCGCGCACATGGCACGCCACGTCTTCCAGTGAGATGCTGAGCTGGCGGTTCATGCCATCAAATATAAGCTCCCAGCTGTTGAGGACCTGTTGTGGAGGCAGAGGGGTCGTGACGAGCAAAGCTGAAGGAGAGCAAAGAAGGGTGATATGAAAGGCGAAGAGGGAGCAATGTGTGTGGGGTCGACACGACATTGAGACAAGAGGTGACGTGTTAGCGGAAGGGAAAAGGACACCTGAGTGCGGGCACTGTGGCATTAACCCAGCGTACCACATCTCACCATATCGTATCCAGAGATCGTGTTCGCTCCAGGGTGTATGCACTGGACGTGCTCCCCTCTAGCCCACACGCGACGCATGAGTCTGATGTCAGCGGCACCGAATGCACGATAGAAGAAAGCATTGGCTGCAATCACTGCCGCCTCGTTGTCTGACTGAAGGCGCCTGGTAAGAGATTATGAAAAATATAATTATTATGGGGAAAATAGCATGGAAAATGCGCACTGGGAATGGGGAGACAGGTGAGGACGGATCGTGAGGGCGTTTCTGGCACCTGTATTTGCATCTGAGCTTGTGTTGTTTTTACCGAATCTAATATACCTACAACAGCCCTTCATTCACCTGACTGACAACTGGAACTGCTTCACCTGGACTATTATTGGTGAACCCCTATAATTTTGTTGTTTTACCTGAGCCTATCCCTGAGCCCAGCAGCAGCAACATAATCCTCTGCTTGCACAGCTGCGTCGAGCTCCCGCTCCAGGCGACTCATGGTGAGAGCCACGGCCTCGGGCTGGTTCACAATGGGGAAACGGGAAAGGGGGATGGGGAGAGAGAAACGGCGAGGCGGAGGGGAGGGGAAGGGTGGAGGGAAGGTAGAGGGGGTTGTAAAATGGCAGGGGCGATGGTGAGGCAGAGACACTGCGATCCAGGCGATGGAAAATGCAAAGAAAACAGGAAGGAGAGGGAGGTGGGCGGATGGGACGACACCGGGGCGGCTGAGAGCCAGGAATGGGTACTTGCGAAAGCGAAATTCCATCGCCACGTCAGAGCGGGCTTCCTAAGTACTCTTCAATAAGCTTACGGCTTTCTCGAAAACGCCCAATGGAGAAAGTTAGTCACTCACATCCGACTCATCGCTACTGTCAGCGTCATCTCCGCCACCACCGCTGCCACCACTGCTACTGGCGGCTCCCACCCGTCGCCTCCTGCCGACTTTCTCGTGTTGAAAGCCCTTTGATCTAAATCGGGGCCCAGGTTGTAGCGCTTCGCCATGCCTCGCACGAGCTGTGAAGCGGGAGTATAAAATCTCATCTAATCGGCACCCAACACTAGGGGCTGCGTTACCGGTTAGCGACTCACGTGAGTTTCGGTGACTTGTCACTGACAATGTTCCCGCATGGCTACGACGGTGCGATCTGACAACGTGAAGGTCGCGTTGGAATGTCACAAGGCCATGAGGCCGACCTGGGGCGTTCCGAAGAGGAGGTTCGGCGACAGTTGGCCTCAAGAATGGTCCTAAACACGCGGTCGCCATAAATATTAATGCGAAGCCTGACATCGCGGTCCCATGATCTAGCGGTTATGATGTCAGGCTCTGAATCTGAATGCCTGAGTTCAATTCTCGGTGGGACCTCAATCTAGTCAGTCCTGTTTCGTTTTGTTTATGACCTTTCTTACATCATGATTTGGTTGTTTCTGTGCTGCGGCTAACACTCAAGCCTAGTTACCTGTGTATCGAGAGGAACCACAGCGGGGTTGGGGGCACATGGGGTGGATGCCCATAACTCAAGCGCGCCGATTCTGTACCCCAATGCCACGGTTGGGGAGATGGGGTGGATGGGATTTGTTCGTCCTTGAAAGTGTGCCTGGGCCTGGGCCTGGGCCTAGGCCTGGGCCCACCCCACCCACGCATGCCCCTCCCCATGCTCGCCACACACACACTCACGACCAGCTGAACTCGAGCCCAATGGCAGTCATTTCATTGCACGGACAGGGTGGGGGCAGGGTGAAATGGTTGCGTGGCGATGCGATAGTGACGACGACTTGTCCTTGCAGCTGAGGGCGTGGAACATTTCGGCTTTTTTTCCGTACGAACGTACGGTTCGGAAAGTGACCACTCTGAAACGTATTAAAACCTACTTGAACAAATCGCTTGGAAAATGCACCGCTTTCAACCGTTCAAGCGGTACGGTTCGTTTGGACAACGACTTGTCCTTGCAGCTGGGGCCCACCGTCCCCTGACCATTTTCTCTCCCTCACTTCCCTCCCCACCCCACCTCCCTCCCTTCGCTCTCTCTAGCCCCCGCCCCGCCCCCTGACCCTCCTTTTCCCCCTTTCCCCCGCCACCCACCCACCACCTTGTTCGTTTGACTGCTGTGTTCCCGCGGAGGATCCTTCCTGCTGCAGCAAAGCATATTCGATATGCGCGCTGGAGTGTGCATGATTGCCACGGAAAATCTGGCAGTGAGAGCATCAATCCACTTCCTTCCGAGTTCCACTCGTAGCTTTTGTTCGCTTCTCTGCAGTAGCCTCAACAAGTGGATTTTTCCGCGGAGGATCTAGAGAAGGACCGATACGGGGACAAAGCGCTTTTGTCAGGAAGGAACCTTGCTCCCCTTGCCAATGTGGCTTCTACAGAAGGACCCCTTTTCAGCAGTGCAATGCCGACAATTCCCGCCTCGCTTTTCCCTTTCCGAGGAAGCGGAGAACTCCGTTGATTGCGCACTCGTTGGCTCACTCCGATGCAGTGCAATGCAAACACCTGCTGTCGTTGTCCCTCCTTGTATCCAACACTACAAAGACCCACCAGCTTTCATCTCTCAGCAATTCCGGCTTCTTTCATACGATCGTTTATTTACGTTCCAGTTCTCACCCCAAGCGTCAGTAGGGTGATCAAACCGGAGGAGGTAAAGGCTTCAAGAAGCAATAAGTAATCAGTTGAATGTTATGAGCAGCAATTTGTAAGGATTTGAAGGCTGGAACAACAAGTAGTAGTTTTTGCGGAAGCTATTAAGTAGCTCTGTTTTCCTTCTCCGTTCTTTCATTCTTGCATTTTTACGTTACGTCGCGTGCTTCGCGGAGGGATTGTCGCTGCTTTGCTGTGTCGCGAAGATGTGGGCTGCAGTTGGCGGGGGGACGAAGACGCGAGCGAGTAGCAAGACGAAGGAGTCGGCACCCCCGGGATACGCGAGACACGCGAGTCATGCGGGGAGCTGGTACACCGAGGACGGTGAGTTTACTCGTAGAGGATATGCTTGTATCGAGTCGAGAGGACGAAAGCGTGTAAGCATACAGAAGCCGGGTGTTTACTTACGACGCCGTAAGCTGTTTTGTTGGCTACACCTGATACAATCACTGCGGGGAGCGTGAATACGGCTAGTTGAACGATCGAGTGTGACTGTAGGACGTATGAGTCGCTCTAGTTCGGATGTGAACTGCCTCTGACTCCTTAGCATGCTCAGCGGTTGCCTCCCGTTGATGGATGCGATGCGATGGGATGTGCTGTGATGCGATGCGATGTGATGCGATGTGATGCGATGCGATGTGATGCGGTGTGATGCGATGTGATCATGTGACTACAGCGGAGGAGCTGGGCGAGGAGATCGAGGCGTGGCTGGCGGCCTCGGGGGTGTCGCCTGACGCTTCCGTGCGCGCCGTGATTGCCCCGTGAGTCACGGGCGGAGGAAGGGGGGAAAAGGTGGGATGGGGAGGGGGAACGGGGTGTGGGGGGGAGATGGGAGGGAGGGGCAAGGGGGGGACGGGGGGGAGGGAAGGGGTGGGGAGTTGCCATGTGAAGCGGGATGGCATGTGAAGCGGGATGGCATGTGAAGCGGGATGGCATGTGAGGCGGGATGGCATCTCAGTTCACACACCCGAACCCTTTCCACCCTCCCCCTCCCCGTTCCCCTGCCTTCCCTCCTCCTCCCATCCCGAACCCTCCCCCCCCCACCTCCCTCTTCATTGTCGCTTATTCTGCTGTCATCGAGCTATGAGTTCCGAGTTGACTCAAGGGTTTCTGTGCCATTCACTTCTGAGTCACCCAGTCACCCAGCGTTCCACCGTCAACTATATTGGCGCTACTTTTGAGAATTCTCAAAAGAACACCGGCATTTGCATGTGTTGATTTGGACGATCGATGCATTTGCATCTTCTTTCCTTGTTCGGTTCACATCCTGGTTATGTTTCTGCACCATTCCTGATGCTGTTGTATCTCCAGCCATGCAGGCTTTCGCTATTCGGGCAGATGTGCGGCCTATGCATTCGCGCACATGCATGCACCATCCATGTGAGTATGCCATTCCAGAGGATCGCCTACTTTTTTCTGCTGGTTCATATTCTGAACTTGCTTACGATCCTACCCTCGCTCCCTCTCCCCTGCCCCCCCCTGCCCCATCTCCTCCTTTTAACCCAATCCATGCCCTCCTTGCGTCTCCTCTCCATCAGCCGTATCATCTCCCTCCGGTCCTGTTACGTTCCACCACCACTACACAGTGTTCTAAACCCTAGAACTCTCATCTCCGTCCCTTTCGTGCTGCCGCATCTCTTTCCTGGGCCCAGCCCAGCCCACCACCACGACACAGTATTTTCTTTCATTCTTAAGAACAATCTTACGAATCTCGTTTTCCTTGTGTGCCCACCAGCCGTCGCATCTTCCTGCTGGGCCCGTCCCACCACCACTACACGCGCAAGTGTGTGCTGCCCCGATCCACCTCCTTCCACACCCCCCTTGGCGCCCTACCCATTGACATGCAAGGTACTGTCTATTGATAACGCTTTTGACCTTCCTCCATCATCGACCCTCCCCCTCTCTCTCCCTCCTCGACCCTCCCCCTCCCCACTCTCTCTCCCTCCTCGACCCTCCCCCCGTTCCCTGGCCCCTTGCAGCCCTTGCCTACTTGCCGCTTATTTTCCGTTTATGTTCCCCTTATATGTCAGTAATATGCCCCCTCCATTCCATTTATTTGCTGCTTTTATGCCCCTCATGTACCCCTCATTTGCCCATATGTGCCCACTCACTGGCAGCACCGTCAGTGTCAGTGCCGTTGCCCCCTCCCCTCTGCGCTGCCCTGTGTGTGCTGCCCTCATACTCTCACAGTGGTGGCGGAGTTGAGGGCAACGGGCGAGTTTGAGGAGATGGGGCGGCATGTGGACGAGGCAGAGCACTCCCTTGAGATGCACGCGCCCTTCCTCGCCCACATGTGCAAAGAGTGAGTCAGCGCCAGTCAATGCTGGTCAACACGAGTTGCTTTGAGTCTCCGAGTTGTCACACCTTGCGTGGAACTGCATGGACCTTTCACACCCTCATCAACCATCTCATGACCCTACCCCCCTCTCTGCCCTATTTTCTCCCAACCACTCTCAACCCTTCTTCACCCGTCTTCACCCCTCGTTACAGTCACAATGTGTCGCTGGTGCCAATAATGGTGGGGTCGCTGGATGCAGCAGCAGAGGCCAGATACGGCAGCATTCTCTCCAGGTGAGGACCCTTTGTCGTTCACGTTGGGTTGCTCTTTACGTAATCGTTCACTCTTGGACTTTCCACTTCCAAACCCTAAGACCCTTCCTACTGTTTCCAACTGTTTCCAACCGTTTCCATCCCTTCTTTGTCTCTCCCTTGCTGTGCGTCACCCTTCCCCACCCCCCCACAGATACTTCTCTGATTCCTCCAACTTCTTCTCTATCTCTTCTGACTTCTGCCACTGGGGCTCCAGGTGCGTCTACCGCATGGTTCTGTGCGGTCCTATGCAGTTCTTCATGGTTTTGTGCGGTGTGTAGGTTTCCAGTGCTGCATGGAGTGCTCTCTGTGGTGTAACGTGGGTGTGCATGTGCCATGTGTATCATGGGCGAATACACATGGCTCAAATCTCTCTAAACTCTCTATCCCTTTCCCTCATCTCCTCTGATAGTTTACTCAAAGCTCTGTCGTCAAGGGAACGTTTTCCCCCTTCCCCTCTTTCCCACCATCTACCTCTTTTCCAGGTTCCGGTTCACGCCATACGACAAGACACACGGCCCCATCCACAAGGCGATAGAGGCCATGGACCGCGAGGGCATGGCGGCTATAGAGGGGGGGCAGGCCAAGGCCTTCCGTGACTATATCGAGCGCACGGGGAACACCGTGTGTGGGAGGCACCCCATTGGCGTGCTGCTGCAGGTGTGGTGGGAGAGGGGATTGGGCTGGGTGGAAGGGTGTTGGGCTGGGTGGAAGGGTGTTGGGCTGGGTGGAAGGGTGTTTGGTCGTAAGGCTAGGTGGGAAGGAGTTGGGCTGTTGTTGTGAAGCAGTTGGGTTGTTTTAAAGAGGATGGCCCCCTTCCATCCACTTTGTACAGTACACACAGTCCAGCCCCTGCCACTCCATGCGCGACACTCACGACTCTCTCCCCACACCCCCCCCCACAACACTCCCCCCTCTGGCGGAGCTGTCCCCCTGGCCCCCACAGATGGCGGAGCTATGCCCCTCGCCCCCATCCGCTTTGTACAGTACGAGCAGTCCAGCCCCTGCCACTCCATGCGCGACTCTAGCGTCAGCTATGCCTCTGCTGTCCTCACACTCCCCCCACCCTCCACCTAAATGGGGGTCGTTGTGACCCTCAGCCAGCTTTCCCAGCATCGCATCACCCAGTCCAGCCCCTGCCTCTCCATGCGCGACTCTAGTGTCAGCTACGCCTCTGCCGGGCTCACACTCCCCCCCGCCTCCACCTAAGGGGTTGTTGCTCTGAGCTTCCGCCAGCATCGCCCACATCGCACCATCCAGTCCAGCCACTGCCACTCCATGTGCCACCGAGTGTCAGCCACGCCTCTGCTGTGCTCACACTCCCACTCGTCCCCTCTTCCACCTAGAAGGAGGGTGCAGCATCGTTTCTTATCGCCCGGCCCAGTCCAGCCACTGCCACTCCATGTGCCACCGAGTGTCAGCCACGCCTCTGCTGTGCTCACTCACACTCGCACGTAACAATCCCTCCACCTGGCGGGTTGCTCTAGGCCTCTCAGCAGCATCTCTCAGATCACGTCGCACCACCCAGCCCAGCCACTGGCGTGCATGGGCCCTGGCCTTGTCTCACTCATACCCTTCCTCCGCCTGCCACTCAGTGCAATCACACTTCACGTACCTGCTGGAAGTCACTCTTGCTCTCGCCTTCTGGGCCTCTGTATAGTCACATTCAGCGACTGGCCCTTGATGCTGGATTGCAGTGTCAGTAACGCCTCTGCTGTGGCTGCTGTGCCTCTTCCTGTATAGTCATCATGCTGCCCAGTGACCACTAATGTGCAGTTACATTCTGTCATCCCATGTATAGTCCATAAAACTTATGGCTAGAATGATCAGCTCTGCTGATTCAGGCCCTGCAAAATTGTATTCTGCCTACGATTTTGCCACAGTGATGGTTAGTGGGAATGAGCAGCTGCTCCTCCTACGGTATGCTAGACTTCAAATCAATAAATTGAATGTTTTACGTGATCACCTCATAAGATTAGTTTCCACACAAACAGCTGAGCACACCAAGCACCAAACTCATCAATATTGGCCCACACGAACAGCCCGCGAAGCCCCAAGACGCATCCACTCAACCACCCCTTGACCCTCCTTTACTAGACAGAGGCAGGGTAGGTAAGGAGACGAAGTTAGGGTTTCAGGATGGCACTCTAGAAGATGGCCGCGCGATGCGCGATGGGCCCAGACAGGAACCTCTGGTTCATCGGCGGCATTATGTACTCGTTACAGTCCACCTCGTTGCTCCTCACGTGCCTGCGGTCACGGACAAAATCCTCCCCTGGCCTCTGCATCATCGCAGGGCTCTGTTGGCGCGAGGAACCCTGCGACGCGTAGCCTCGTCGCACGTTGCACTCTGCGTCAGGTTGCGATTCGCAGGAGCAGCAGCTGCTCATGCCGTTGCAAGTCCGGCAGATTTTCGAAGAAAACTGAGCACCAAAATCAGGTGAAGGCGACGCGGTGCGTTGAAACTGACGAGAATTCCCGCGAGTCGAGTCGTCAACCCAGGTGATTTGCGACGGAGCCTCCCACGCGACCCCGTCAAAGTTCTGAGCAAATCCCGCGTGCGCGCGTGCGCCGTTAATGGCGTTACGCGACTGCCGGTGTCCGATCCGCGTGTCAGTCATCATGTACAGCTTGCTGTCCACGTCAGCCCAGTCCTGCGCTGACTCAGACTCACAGAATCCGATTTCAGCCGTGACGTCATCACGCTCTAAACTCGGCCCACATGAGGAATGGGCCGTGGGAAAGGCAGCCTTCTTGCCGGGAGAGGTGAGGCGCCTCAGGCTCCGCGGCTTGAAGTGCGCGAGGGTCGCGAGGACTTTCGCTTTAAGAGACGACCCTTCGGACTGAGAGGACAGAGGAGGCGCGCGACTCGAAGCGGCTGGAGTTGCCCTCGCAGAATCCGCGCTGTAGTCGTCTTCGTCAAGGGCAGCGATCTGAAAAAAACGGAGGATAAACAAAGCAGAATCTCACCGTGACGTTAGATCCGAGCGAGGAAACTGCACGGAAAACATTTCTATTATGTAGGAAACAAACGGGAGGCACTAAATTCACGTGGCACGGGCTTACCTCGGCGAGGAAAGGATTGGCCGCTGTGGTGGGCGATGGTCGCGGAGGGAGCCTGTGTTCGCGTTGGCTGGTAACACTCGACACGGACGACGTTGGCGAAGGGTAGATGGACGGCGTTCTGCTGTGGCGACCCTCGCCACGATGTGGCGACAACTCGATATTATGCTTCGCCGCGTAATCGGCTTGAGGCCGACCGCTGCCTTTCAGGTTACGGCTCCCGCTGTAAGTCTTGGATTTGTACAACGCGGGTTGATCACTATCTTCTTCCTCGTCCTCGTTCTCATCCTCTCCGCCTCGGCCCGAACCAAAGCTATTGTGTCGGCCCGAACCAAAGCTGTTGTGTCGGCCCGAGCCGAAGCATTCGCGGGTGACGAAGCTGAAGTCGATACTCTCCTCGCTGCGCGCGCTGCAGCAACCCGGCGACGACACACGCGTCGGTATTTCCAACGTGCCCGCGGCGCTGCCATGCGCATCCCTGTGATGAAACGACTCGTTCGAATCGCGGTGAAACGGCCCGTCTCGCATGAGCGGGATCTGCCCGTCGCTTGCGGCGCCGTGAGGGCTTCGAGGGGGGAGATGCGGCGACACGCCGCGGGAGCGAGACGCATAGGAACCGTCCCTCGAAGGGGGCGTCAATGGCGGGCGCGCCGCGGACGGTGCACGCTTCGGCGTGAGGAATTAGGTTTCTCCTGGTACGAGCGGAGTGTTGGGTGCGACGAGCGCTTCGAGCGATGAGAGGTTCATGTGGGGGTACTCGGAGAGAACTGTCTGGGCTGTTAGTTGCTCGCTAGGGTCTGACGGCTTGTCAAAGAGACGGATGGATCCGTCAAGGAGCATGACGATGACGGACTCCTGCTCAACGGAGTCCGTCAGGCTGACGCGTGGCTTGCTGGAAAATCGCGCAGCCATGGCTCCGATTGAGGTTTGACTAGGTGCGGTGGAGCTTAGATTTCAGAAGATTATACTTGAGGTGCCAATGCGGCGTTGCCAGTGCGGCGCTAATCCTCGGAAAACTGTGATCCTCGTAAGAATTGATCAATACTGCTTTGGAAGGAGGGAAAAGAGCGAGAGGGAAAGGAGATAAAAAGGTATTGTACGGTCGTGGCTTCACTTCGCTCGACTGTTTCTCCAGCGACCGCGAAAACCGCGTGACAGGCTGGAAACACGGAGGGCGCAAGGATGAATTCGATCTGCTAAAACTGACTGGTCCCTTCCCGCTTCGGACCAACCACACCCGCTCCAGACCAGACAAAGGCAGTGTGTTGGGGAACAGCAGCGCGCCGAAACGAAATTCACCAGGATGATCCAGCTGGTGCCTTTTGGCCATGGGCTGGTTTGGCAGGCATGTGTTCCACCATCTGTAGCCGCAACTTCCCTCATTTTGAATAGCACACCGTGGTTTTCCCCCTAAAACCATGAATTTGGGGGACACATTACACCGCCATGAACTGCGAGACACACCGTCGGCTTTCCCTAAAAACCGCGAACATATACTTCAGCGGACTCCGAGAACCAAGCAGGGACTTTGCGGAGGTCGGTGATTTTTTGTTTAATCCCTCTCATTCCGCCGCACCGCGCCGAGAATGGCTGCAGAGTCGATGTACCCCATTTATTATGCGTCAGTGCTCGCCTAGCATCGCTCAGCAGAAATTGCGATACACAACCTTCCATTTCAACCTTCCATCACGACCTCACTTTCTTCGCAGGCTGCAGCTTGTTGCGAACGGGCATTCTACTCAAACATTTGAAAAAAAATCCGACGATTTGACAGGCTTTTCAAATCTTCTCTCCTGTCGTGCCCAATTCTATGCCAGCGAGAAGTTGCACGGTGCACCAGAAAATGCGACACGAGAAGGGACCACCAAAGCAGCTCGTCATAACCGTTGTTCCTTATGAACAAACTTTCTTCTCTTTGCTGGCCGTAAGTTGCGTATAGCGACAACCCAGACTACCATACACACGGATCCCTCCCAATCGGAGGACATCACCCACACAACATGTTGCTCTGCGCCTCGGCTAGCGTCGGATGGAAGTTGTTTCTGGAACCCTACAAAAGTCGACAGAGGGATGAATGTTCTGTTGGATGCTTGGCAGAGTGCACAGTCTATGCTGTAGACCGTACTGTACCGAAAGCGCCAACTTATAATGCCCACCGCAGCGTACAAAACGGAAATAATGTAGATTTTGACTCGTATATACGACAGAATGGTCCAACGGTCGGTGAGCTGACTGACAGGATGGCCCCTATGGCCCCTGTGGTTTTGAAGCATGCCATGCCATGCCATGCCACACATACATGCTATTGTGCTTTCAGCATTTTTCTAAGGATGGAATACACTAGAACATGCATCATATCCAGTCGTAACTGAGTACTACACCACAGCTAGTGTGCTGTGCATTGTGTTGAGAGAGATGTACGTGTGAGAGAGGCGGTGATGGGATCGTAATATACTACACACCGCAGCTACTGACCAGCGCTCTTTTATTTACAGTGTAATTCTTCTCAAACTTGGGTATAACATTGTACCAATGCTGAATCTCAGTGTGAATTTGTACAATCAAACCGGCGATTATGTTGTTGGGAACCAACTGCGACCTGAACACTTTGACGAAGCTCATGTCAGCACGTGGCAATCATCCGTCCTATGTTCTCCCCAATCCTCTGCTTGGCTTTCTCGCACACAGGCGGGTGGCCAATGTATAAATCAAAGAAGGCTCCTGGTCAACGTGGTGTACACAACGGAAACGGAGTTGAATAAAACAGAGTAAATGAGTAACTGAAAACTAAAAACACGTCATACAAAAAATAGCAGGCAAGGAATAAGGGTATGCCCGCAGGTTATGGAAAGTCAACAAGCAAGCATTGACAAGTTCTGACAACTCAGCAAGCAGCAGCAGGAATCTGCACAATGCAGGAAGTGAAAGAGACTCACTGCATAGAGGAGCGCTGACTATTGGGTCCATGCGCCTGCCGTCAACTGGAGGGGATAGGGGGGTGGGGAGAGAGAGGGAGAGAGAGAGAGAGGGAGAGAGAGAGGGAGAGAGAGGGAGAGAGAGAGAGGTGGGACAGAGAGCATTGGTAATGAGTCCTGACAACGGGGTTCATGCGCCTGCCGTCCACTGGAAGGGAAAGGGGGAGAAAGAGGGGGGAAGAGGAGAGGAGAGAGATGGAGGGGGAGGGCGGGAGAAGGCTGGGGTGAGTAAAGCGGGTTCACTGCAGAGAGGAGTGCTGACAATGGGATCCATGCCCTCTCGTCAAGTGGAGGGGCAGGAGGGTGAGAGATGGAGAGGGGAGGGCGCGAGAGAACAAAAGTGAGTAAAGCAGGTTGATAGCAGAGAGGAGAACTGACAATGGGATCCACACCCACCCACCCACTCCACACCCACCCACCCGCCCGCCCGCCCTCCCCCCCCAACTCCCCTCCCCGACACACCCCCCCCCCCACCCCCCCACACACTCCATCCAAAGTGATTTCAGGGCACTCACTCTCAGTGAGCAGTGTTCCTCCTGGCTGCCATGTGAAATCGATGGTGGTGCCCTGAGGTCAATGGGCAAGTCAAGGTAAGGGGAAGGAGGTCGAGAGGGCAAGGGGTGACCTTTAAGTCGACTCAAAAGTCTTTGAGTTGATTCAAAAGTTTCCTCCTGGCTGCCATGGGAAGTCGATGGTGGTGCCCTGAGGTCAATGGGTGACAAGAGACAGTGGAGGATTACACAGGGGTGCAAAGCGGTGAGCAGTGTTCCTCCAGGCTGCCAGGTGAAGTCGATGGTGGTGCCCTGAGGTCAATGGGCGAGTGGGCACAGGGGAGGAATGCACAGAGGCGATGGGAGAATGATTCTCTAGGCGCCTCAAGGGCTCTCACACTCAGTGAGGAAATGAGTTCTATGGCAAGGAGGGTTACACAGGGGCGAGAGGAAGTGAGTTCTATGGCAAAGACGGGTTACACAGGGGCGAGAGGAAGTGAGTTCCATGGCACCTCAGAAGTCGATGGTGGTGCCCTGAGGTCAATGGTTGGGAGGGCAGAGGAGGGTTGCACAGGGAGCAGAGAGCAGCGAGCAGCGAGCAGCGAGCAGAGGGCAGAGAGCAGAGAGCAGAGAGCACTGACCCGCTTGACTTTGTGCGGCAGCGAGAGGTACTCGTTGAGAGTGTGGAAGCCCGGGTCGTCTGCATGGCCCAGTAGCTGAGGGGGGGCACATGACAGAGGGGGGGGCGTGGGGGTGTCGGAAGAAAAGAAAAGAGGGATGAGAGAGGTACTCGTTGAGGGTGTGGAAGCCCGGTTCGTCTGCATGGCCCAGTAGCTGAGGAGGGGGGGGGGGGGGGCATGACAGATGTAGAGGCGTTGTTGAGTCGACTTGAAAAGGAAGTGAGAGGTACTCGTTGAGAGTGTGGAAGCCCGGGTTGTCTGCATGGCCCAGTAGCTGAGGGGGCATGAGAGCGGAGGAGGCGTGACGTGAGGGCATGATAGGGGAGAAGGTTAAGGGCGTGGGGACATAAGGGCATGGGGCCACACGGAAAAATAGAAAGAAAAAGCAGATGGGAGAGGAGGCGTGCGGAGGGGGGTAAGGATGCCTTTTGTACTGCAAGTGCCAAACTATCTTATTATTATTATTATTATTATTATTTTTTTTTTTTTTTTTTTTGAGAATTGAACTCTAGCTACCAGGGGGCACAGGTGGGAGGGAGCAAAGACAGGCAGAAGTGATAAAACACACCTTAGTGAGGCGATTGGAGAGGGACGTGTTGAGCGCACTGGGAGCAGGGCAGAACATGTGGGGGCAGGGCAGAACATGTGGGGGCAGGGCAGAACATGTGGGGGCAGGGCAGAACATGTGGGGGCAGGGCGGAACATGTGGGGGCAGGGCAGAACATGTGGGGGCAGGTTGCATGGGACACAAAGGGCTGGGTTGAGGAAGAGAGTAAGAACCAGATAGCTCCTTTGAAAGCATATGCAGGACGAGAGGAAGGCGAGAGGACATGGAGGAGAGGGAGAATGGAAGACGAAGAGGAGAGGACACTCTGAATCGCATTGCCTCGCATTCATTGACTCGCATTGATTGCATTGACTAGCAACGACTCTTGTTGACCCAGCGCACTCACTTGCGCACCATCTTCATGTTGAGCCCTCGGTAGTGCAGTACCAGCCGCACCGTCATGCCTATCATTGTCTGACTAACATTTACTTGTGTTGACTGGCGTTGACTCGCATTGACCCGTTGCACTCACTTGCGCACCATCTTCATGTTGAGCCCTCGGTAGTGCAGCACCAGCCGCACTGTCATGCCAATCCAAAGGCACCTAGACGGTTGCCAGACTAGCATTGACTCGCGTTGACTGGCATTGACTGGCATCAACCCAACCCAAGGCGACTCACTTGCGCACCATCTTCATGTTGAGCCCTCTGTAATGCAGCACCAGCCGCACTGTCATGCCTATATCACGACTGGCAAGGAGAACAAGAGAGGGGCGGGGCAAGGGAGGGACGGGGAGAGGGAGGGGCAACGAGGGATGGGGCAGGGGACGGGCGGGGCGGGGGAGGGGCAGAAGCAAGAGAAGGGCGGAACAAGGGAGGGGTGGGCAGGGTGCAAGAGAGGGTGGGAACGGTATGAGATTGTAGAGAGGCCATGAGGAGGGGATTAAGCAGGTGGGGACGGGAATGAGAGGGAAGGGGATGGAGAAGGGAGGAGTGGGGAAGGGGAGGGGGGGGATTGCGAAACAAGATGGGAAAGAAAACTAGCGCAAATAGCATCCCAGGCGGAACGGGCACTAGGAGAAGTAGGCACAAGCCGAATTCACCTGAGCTTGTGCGTCTGCTGTTTTCACCTGAGCATGCGTCTGTTGTTTTCACCTGAGCAGGTCGTCGTAAAACTCCTGGCTGACTCGCAGCTCGTCCAGAGGCATGGCGCCGTACTTGGCCTTCAGGTGCTCGTCACCCCCCAGGCTGGATGGGCTCACGTCTGAGCAGACAAGGGCGGGGAGGGGGGAAGTGGAAGCAGTGGGAATTGCTCATGTGATCGGAAGCGTAGGGGTGGTGGTTTTCAGGGGCATGGCGCCATACTTGGCCTTCAGGTGCTCGTCGCCGCCCAGGCTGGCCGGACTCACGTCTGAGCAGAGAAGGAGGGGGATGGAGAGATGGGGAGAGATGGGGAGGGATGGGGAGGGATGGGGAGGGATGGGAGGGATGGGGAGGGGGTGGTGGGGAAGAGGGAGCAGAAGGGATTGCTCATGAGGAGAGAAGAAGAGAGAAGGGTTAGCTCCCTGTGAAACGAAGGAAACAAGTAGTAGACTGGGAGTCTAGACGATTAAGCTTAAAAAAAAAACGAGAACACCAAAACATAGAATGGAACCAGACAGTATTCATGCACTCGCTTGTGCAACACATAAGAGCTCCTCTAGTGGCTCCTTCTACCCAGTCTGCTCACAGAGGCCGAAGGCAGCAGGTGGGCTTACAGAGGCCGAAGGCAGCAGGTGGGCTTACAGAGGCCGAAGGCAGCAGGTGGGCTTACAGAGGCCGAAGGCAGCAGGTGGGCTTACAGAGGCCGAAGGCAGCAGGTGGGCTTACAGAGGCCGAAGGCAGCAGGTGGGCTTACAGAGGCCGAAGGCAGCAGGTGGGCTTACAGAGGCCGAAGGCAGCAGGTGGGCTTACAGAGGCCGAAGGCGTATATCTTGATAGATTTGATCCTGGCAATCACCGTGTCTCTGATGCCCACCCCTGCCAGCAGCTGGGGATGGGAATTTGGATTGCGAACGGGGACGGGGATGGGGACGGGGATGGGGATGGGAACGGGGACGGGGATGGGGATGGGGACGGGGATGGGGATGGGGACGGGGATGGGGATGGGGACGGGGTTGGGGATGGGGACGGGGATGGGGATGGGGACGGGGTTGGGGATGGGGGGGTGAGGATGGGGATGGGGATGGGGATGGGGATGGGGATGGGGATGGGGATGGGGATGGGGATCGGGATGGGGATGGGGATGGGGATGGGGATGGGGATGGGGATGAGGACGGTCGAAGATACATAGCTCATCACTTTTCTCTTCACTCACCACCACTCCCTGCCCCTCCAGCCCCTAAGCACCCCACTCACCCCCCACCCTGCCCCTCTTGCCCCTCAGCACCACCCTCTTGCCCCTCAGCACCACCCTCTTGCCCCTCAGCACCACCCTCTTGCCCCTCAGCACCGCACTCTTGCCCCTCCCCACCACCCTCTTGCCCCTCCCCACCACCCTCTTGCCCCTCAGTACCACACTTACCCCTCCTCCCTGCCCCTCTTGCCGCAGCATGACGGGGAAGGAGTGCTTCGTCTTTGGCTCCACCACCACTCCCCTCTCCGCGCCCACACTCGCGGTCGCCACGCACGCGTGCGGCACACTGCGAGGGATGAGGAGCAGAGGGACGGGGAGGGATGGGTGGGGAAAGGGGCGGGAGGGGCGGAGGGGAGGGAGGGGAGGGGGCGGGAGGGGGAGGGGGAGGGGAAGGAAAGGAAAACGGAGGCGCAAAGAGGAGGGAGGACGTAAATGGAAGTGGAGGCGGAGGTGTTTGAGGGGGAAAAGGAGGAGGAGTGGGGAAGGGGGAAGGGGGGGAGGAAAGGAAAACGGAGTCGCAAAGGGAAGGGACAGCATAATTGGAAGTGGAGGTGTTTACGGGAGGAAAATATGGGAAGGGGGGAGAGGGGAAGGGGGGGGGAAGGGTGTGGGTGGGAGAAGGGGGACGGAGACGCATCATGCTGCTTCATTCCTACCTGCCAGCACGACGCTGTTTCAACCCACCTGCCGCCATCTGTCTCACGAGGCCGCTTCCGCCCTTCCGCCACAGACGCCACTCGCGAAACCACCGCCTCGACTTCATCCTCCCCCGCGCCTTGACCTTTCGCGGAATCCTCACGCGAACCTTCCCCCCGTTCCTCCGACCGCGCTCCGCTGCGCTCATCTTCCGCCGAACACGCCCTCGCCCACCCCAGTGCCCCTAACGCCACTGCGCTCAGCGACAAAAGTCCGCCGATCGCAGACTGTCGCATGGCGAACGGCAGTCGCGCGACTCCAACGGGCAATGCACCCAAGCCCGGCCCCGCTGGGCCGACGACTGCCGGCGTGACAGCCGCAGCCGGCGGCTGTAGCAGGCCTTTCGCCGGCTGTAGCCAGACGGCGCGGGTGGCTATGTGCGACGCTACAAGCGGGCCTGCGGCGCGAGTCGACGCCGCTACAGCCGCAGCGACGAGCCGGCCGGTTCCCGATCCGAGCCGCTGATAGAAGCTCGCGCTTGCTCCCCCAACGCCGAGCCCCAATTGAATGCACGCATTTCCCGATCCCGTTAGTGGAATAATTTCCATAGGCGATTGATTCGCGTTCGCGTTATAAGACGACGCGTTACACTCGTACGTCCCAGCGTTTTGTTCGGGCGATCCAGTGGTGTGGTCCACAGAAGCGTCGCTCAGTCTGTCGAACGCGTTGGAGTTACTTGCTTGCAAGCGGTGGGCGACGTCGCAGGCGACGGAGAAGAGGGAGGCGACGGCAGACGTGGCAGCTGCTGCGACGGAGAGATCGCTTCCTGGGATATCATATTCGCCGAAACTATTGCCGATCATTTTGAGGATTATAATCAATACGTCGAAATGGAGTCTTTGACTGTTTGTTTCGAACGCTACGACGACAAGAAGGATACACCGACGGTGCCTTGTACTGAATTAAGTTTGAAGAGCCGGTTAGCTCATAATAAAATACATCGGACTCATAATCGAAGAGTCACCCACTGCATTGGAGAAGAGAAACTGCTGGACCTGGAGAGAACCGGAACAACGACGCCTGAAATCCAAGTGCTCTCCAGTGCAATGCTGGGAGGAGAAGGTATCGAAGAGCTCGAAAGTAGGTCAAGGAGGTGTCAAGGAGACGGAAGAAGTCGGAAACTAGAATCCAAAAACCAACATCTAGGCTCGAATCGAGCGAGACACTGGTGGGGAGCACTCAGTTCTGCAACTGAAGCTGCCAGCGCCCCACTGGTGTGGAATATGGTAGATTGAGATAGGATAAACTAGGATGGAATGCGATGAGATGGGTTGGGATGCGATCAGAGAAGATGGGATGGAATGGTCATTCAGTGCAGTACATGGCAGCTATTCTCGGAAGTATCGACCGTTTGTGATTGGTCAACTTTCACAACGGACCTCGTTGCAACCCCAAGTGGCAGGAGCCGAGACCGAGAGCCGTGACTTGAGGCCATTTACAGGGTACAGTAAACATCTCACCTAATGGCACCACGAATGCACTATGCGATTTTAATGTATATTGAGTGAAAAATATAGCACAATCTATTCCACTTCCAACTTTCATTTCCTCAAAAGCTACTATGTACACATACAACGCATCCTTCCTAACAGGTTTACAAACCCAGCAGCCAAACCTATTGACTGCCTAACCCACAAGACAACTATACACCTCTTCACAACTAACCCTGAAAGGTTATCTCATACACAGGCAGCTCATGATGTGCACTAGTCATCACCACCAGACTATCAGTTCGCGAGGAAATCACCGTCTGCACCATGAGAAGCACGAAGAGAATAAGCTTCCACACGGGCCCCGCAGGGCCCGACCGAGAAGAAGTGACATACGACCTGCTGATGCTGGCATGGCAGCCAAACCAATGCTGGCTGGACCTCATGCCTTCCTTGAAGATTGAGTTGATGTTCTCTGGAGGGGTGCCATGGAATGCGAGCTGCAGAGGGAGTGGCAGGCCGCTTGCTTGGGTCTGTCCATCAATCAAGTTACCTGGGCATCAAGAGGGAGAGCATGAGGAGAGCAGGAAGTCATGAGAACAAGGGAGGTAATCGAAAGAGGTAGGTGAGGGTAACTCGTGGGGAAACCTCAAGAACTGTCAGGCTGGCCAGGCCACCACCAATATTGCTCAGAAAAACTCAATAGCCCATTTGCCTCTTTTTAATAGGCGCCTCAAAACTCGTGGGGAGACCTCCAGAGGTGTCAGGCTGGCCACCACCCATATTGCTCACAAAGCCTCGATAGTCCATTCGCCTCTGCACCCTCACACACATGCTCCTCCAGCCCTCACACCCTCTCACAGAGATGTTTACCCGCAGGCACCAGCTCTGCCTTGCAACTCACTGGGGCTGAGGTTGGCGCAGCCAGTGGCGATCCCTTCCATGGACTCAACAAACTTGTGAAATACCGGCTGCCCCAGCTGCAGGCTGGGGCTCCTTCACTATCCCAACTTTGAGTCAAACAAAAAAAACACTAGTGTTGAGTCCAAAACTTAGTTGCCTCAACACAAACGCATGCTCGCGACTCACTGGGGCTGAGATTGGCGCAGCCAGTGGCGATCCCTTCCATGGACTGCACGAACTTGTCAAAAACCGGCTGTCCAAGCTGCAGGTTAGGGTTACGCCGCTTCGCAATGATTTGGTATGGTGAAATCTTTCCCGCCAGCATCTTCATCACGTTGTCCTCCGAGCAGAAAGCTTCCAGCGTTGCGCCTAACAACTGCATCAAGGCAATTCAGCAACCCATAAATGTCCGGGCAAGGACGGTTACCGTACGACAGCTCTACAAACAAAAAAAGGAAAGTAGAAGAATTAATTTAAAAAATCTCCACCCGTGGGCCCTCACCTGCTTGCGGTCCTCCCCAGTGGCCCCCAGCGCCAGCTTGAGCAGCTCAAGAGGGTTGTGGGGGAACTGCACCACCACATCCTTCTCCCGGCAGTCCTTCAAACACATGGTCAGAACTCCATAACGCCAACACCCTCACCTGCTTGCGGTCCTCCCCAGTGGCCCCCAGCGCCAGCTTGAGCAGCTCAAGAGGGTTATGAGGAAACTGCACCACCACATCCCTCTCCCGCCCCGTGAATGGGTTTCGCTGCACCATGCGCTGTAAATCAATGGTATACACCACGCCCAGGGGGTACGCGTCGGTGATGATTGGAGCAGTTTGAGCGCACATGTAGCCCTGCGCGCCGGCTCGGAAGATGGCCCGGCCCGTGGCTGCGTCGTACTGCCGGAGGTTGTTTCGGCTGTCACGCCAGTGGATGGTTGGCATCGGTGCTCCCCCCGGCAGCTGAAGGCCCTGGGTTGACAGCGCCGGATAAGAAATTGCCAGAAAGGTGAGAAGCACGAAATCCCAAGAGTGAGAAAAGGAGTGCTAGTAAGGAGACTTTGATTTAAGACGCTTAGAAAGCTCGGGTACTGTTTCTGTTGTCGTGCAACAAGGGATTTGACAGCTAGAGCAATCTCGGCATCTCCAAGGCTCGCCTTACCTGCTGATTCGGCATTCCCAAGGCTTGGGACGGCGCAGGAGCAGGCAGCGCCGCGCCAATCACCCTGATTTCCCGCGTGTACCCGCTCTGCGCGTTTCGCTGCTTCATGGCGCGCAGATCCGCGGTATAGCGCGCGCCGTTAGGGTACACGTCGGACGCGAACGTGCCGAGATCGACCGACGGCAGCCGCCTCGCGATGGCGTCGCGGACGGCGTTCTCGAGGTGCGGCGGGTAGCGGCGCCACTGCGCGTCGTCGCGCCACCACACGCCGGGCGCGGCGGGATCCGCGCACGGCAGGAGAATACACATGGGCGCGCGTGAGGTTGACGGCTAGGGTGAGGGTGCTGGTGCGGGTGGGGTGAGGTTACTACTATCGTGCGGAAAGTGAGGCGAATGCTGGAAGGCAGAGGAACGATGATGCTTGCAGGCACAGAGGTCACTCAGACAGAGAACTTCTCTAACTCTAGTTGAAATGCCACCCTAATTGAAATGCTCTCAAGGGGCGCCGTGGATCCTAGTAGCGGCTGTGCTCTCTGGCTCGAATTTCTCCAAGACGGTCAAGGAAAACGGAGGCAAGAAATGCTTGACAACATGCTCCCTCCCCGAGAGTCCGCGGCAACGACGCATGTCGCCACGCCATGCGCTCGCCTCCTTTCACCGACCCGCTCATGCTCACGCTCGCCCCCGCACGCTCCGCCTTGTCTGCGCGCCGAGCTCCGAGCCCCGCATGATGCTGCTTGCTGCTGCTGAAACGTCGGCGCGCCACACATCATGATGCGTTGCGTTTTAGGAGCCCACGCCTGCATGATGTGGGACAAGAAACCTAAGAAACGAGTCATGAATGTGTTACACGGTCACGATACCAGCATTCGAGATTCTCATCATCTGTAATGCCCAGGGCTATTATAATGGCGGTTACAAGGCTTTTATAATATTCCAATACAAAATAGTAGCTTTAACTAGCCTTAATAGCCTTGGAGATGAAGATCTTCTTGATGCCTTTGATGAAAAGCACTTGGAGTAGTAGTGTAGGGAGACTTGTGAGAGAGCCCAAAAGGACTTAGAGAAACAATCCCATTTCCAATTGTTTTGTTGGAGTGGGAGGTTGAGAATGAGCTTGGAAGCTCAAACCCCCTCAATACACCCCTTTGGGAACTCTCCCAACCATGGCTTCCATGGTGGGAGGGTTCCTAGGCTTGGAGCCTATGTGGCAATTAGGTTGGGTTGGAAAACCCAACTTAGAACCATTGTATGGTTGCATTTTAGATAGAGTAGCTTGTAACATTGAACTGGCAGTTTCTGATTGGTTGAAATTCCAACCTTTGGATTTCCACTTTGATGGGTTGGAATATTCCAATCCTATTTGTTGAGGTTTGGAATTTCCAATCCAACCTTTCCCTTCCAACCCAACCATTCTATCCCAATCCAACCTTCACTCACTCGTAGCACAATTTCTATCGAGAGAAATCTCGGCGAATGCCTTGAGTGTTAGTTAGCTTGGGAGTTAGGTGAGAAGTAGGTCGATGCGTTACACTCCCCCCCCCCCAGGTGGCAACGTCCCCGTTGCCCTAGGGTGCTTCTGAGGACGAGTGCTCCGAGCACGGCGCACCACATTACGACCAGGGTCAACCCCGTCCACTGGTTGTGGGCCTGCTCGTAGAGCCAGGTCTTCCATATATGCTTGAACCGCTGCATCGGTCAAGTGTTCTTCAGGCTCCCATGAGTTGTGTTCCGGCCCATAGCCTTTCCACTGAATTAGGAACGCACGAACAGTTTTGCGGCCGCGTTGTCGATCACGGTGCGTTAGCACACGCTCGACTTCGTAAAAGAGTTCCTTCTCGAGAGCGATGGTTGGTGGCGGTAAGTACTTGCCTTCTGCAACGTACTTATTCAACAGAGACACGTGGAAGACGTTGTGAATCTGCAATGTCGCAGGCAATTTGAGCCTATATGCGACCTCACCAACACGCGCAATCACCTCGAAGGGCCCAATCCAACGAGGGAAAAGCTTTCGTGCTCCCGGGATCTTGAGACGAATGTTCTTCGTACTCAGTAATACTTTGTCGCCAACTGCAAAGACGACTTCCCGGCGTTTCATGTCGGCATAGGACTTTTGCCTCTGTTGGGCAAGCTGCAGCCAATGGCGAGCGGACTTCAATGTCGCTTGCTGTTTTCCAATAAAGTCCTTTGCGGCAGGGATTTTTAGGTTCTTAATCCCATGCGTCGCAGGGGTTGTGGGGTGCCGACCACAGTTCAGGACAAAGGGTTTCTCATGGGTGCTTTCATGCACAGAATTGTTTACAGCGAATTCCACGACTGGCAACAATTCATCCCAATCGTCCTGAGTTGGGCTTATGAAAGAACGAAGCATTTGCTCAAGAGTGCGGTTGGTCCGCTCTGTCTGTCCATCCGTTTGCGGGTGGAACGCAGACGACATCTTGAGTTTCGTTCCGAGTGTCTTAATGACCTCTTGCCAGAACCGGCTTGTGAAGCGCGGGTCTCGGTCAGACACCATCACACGAGGCAAACCGTGTAAGCGGAAAACGTGTGTCACAAACAACTTTGCCGTATCTTCCGCAGACACGTCAGTCGTCGTGGGCACGAAGTGCACCATTTTGGTCAAGCGATCCACAAACACTAGTATCGTTGTATGACCATCTCGCGTCTTGGGGAGATCGGTGATAAAATCCATCGATACACTCTCCCAAGGTTCATCGGGAATCTCAAGTGGTTGAAGCAGACCACCAGGCTTCTGTGTGCTCGGCTTGTTCCGTGCACACGTGTCACAGCGAGTTACAAACTGCTGGACCTCAATGCCCAATCCCGGCCACCAGTATACATCACTGAGGGCCCACCGGGTTTTCTTGACACCCAGGTGTCCTCCATACTTAGTGGCGTGCACCTCTGCGAGAATATCATTCCGCAGGTTTCCCACATGTGGGACTACAATTTCTTTCTTGTGCCACCAGAGCTCATGCTCCCACAAGAGATTGTTTGTATTCTGTGGGTTCTGAAACCAAGGGTCAATATCATACCCTGCGCGGATGCGTTTCAGAAAACCACCAAAGGCAATCTCGCTCACTCGAGCAGCTTCGAGGATGTTGAAACAAGCAGCAAACACAGCTTCATGTTCCTTATCATCAACACCCGTTGCTGCCCCAATCGGCTGTCTGCTCAGAGGATCAGCCATGTTCGTCGAGCCCGCTCGATATCGAATATCGTAGGTGAACCCACTCAGGAGTTCAGCCCATCGAGCTTGACGGCGGGTGAGTGTGGCTTGAGTGGCAAAATAGGTGTTCGGACAGTGGTCGGTCGTGACCACAAAGTCAACACCTTCGAGATAACATCTCCATGTTCGTAGCGCATGCATAACCGCCAACAATTCTTGTTCGGAAGTTGTATAGCGCTGCTCAGCCGGTGAAAGCTTTCTACTCTCAAATGCCACGGGGCGTCCTTCTTGCAAAAGAACTGCTCCAATCCCTACTGTCGAGGCATCAGTTACCACCTCGTAGGGCTTGGACGGGTCTGGCAAAGCCAGCACTGGAACATTGGTCAGCATGGTTTTCACCTCCTCAAATGCCTTCTGGCATTGATCGGTCCACTGCCAAGCATTACCCTTACGAGTGAGGGCAGTCAGTGGGGCGACTACGGAGGAATAATTTTCCAAGAAACGGCGAAAATAGTTCGCAAGTCCAAGAAATGATCTGACCTGTCCCACGTCCTGTGGAACGGGCCACTGTTGGACTGCCGCCACTTTCTTTGGATCAACTTTGAGGCCATCGTTGCCTACCAAGTGACCAAGGTATTCCAACTCGCGTTTGTAGAAGTGACACTTCCACAATCGAGCAAAGAATTTATGCTCTCGCAGTTTTCCTAACACCCATTTCAGGTGTTGCGTGTGTTCTTCTTCGGTCTTCAAGTACACGAGGATGTCATCCAAGTATACCAGGACGAATTGGCCGATTGCCTCCCGAAACACATCATTCATTGCTCGCTGAAATGACGCGGGAGCATTTGTCAAGCCAAAACTTAACACACGCCACTGAAAATGCCCGAACGGCGTTCTGAAAGCCGTTTTTGGAACATCTTCTTCGGTGATTCGTAGCTGGTGATACCCCTGAGCTAAGTCCAGCGCACTGAACCACTGAGCTCCCTGGAGCCGATCGAACAGATCCTCAATTCGTGGTAGAGGGTATCTGTTCTTCACCGTAATCTTGTTCAAGGCACGATAATCTACGCACATGCGTAATCCTCCGCCCTTCTTGTTAACGAACAAAATTGGTGCTCCGTAAGGGGATGCACTGGGTTCAATCCATCCTTTTCTGAGGTATTCCTCGATCTGTTGTTTGGCCTCTTCGTACTCAGCTGGACTGAGGCGATACAGAGGTCGAAAGGGTGGAACCTTTCCTGGTTCAACAGGGATGGTGTGACCCACTGCGCAGTCAGGCGGAAGTCCATCAGGGATGGTTTCAAACACTTCCTTGAATTCCTCTGCCAGTATTTTCATTTGAGGAGGGAAATCCTCAATTGCTGGCTCCGAGGCCTCGACATTCTCAAGCTGTACCACGAATAGTGTATCAGCCGACTTAACAGAATGCCCGAATTGGTTGGCCAACACACACAGCGCGCTGGGACGTTCAGGCGTCTGTATTTCAGTGGGCAAAGTATCATTGACTTGCCACTGGATTGCCTTTCCGTTCTTGTTGAACGAGACAATGTTGTACTGGAAGTCCAGAATAACTTCGTTGGCTCTCAACCAATCCATGCCCAGGATGAGGTCGACTCCTGACAAAAGTGGTAGGACATATACGCGAACTGTTTCGCTATAGTCCTGTACTTTCATGTCGATATGTGTCTGTCCTTTACTTGGAATGACACGATCGTCACCCAAGCGGATGGGACACGACGGTCCTACAACGAGGACGTTGCGTGTCGTAACCCAAGTTTCATCAACAAGGGAAACCGACGCGCCTGTATCGACGAGAATCCTTGCTTCGTCCCCATTCATGTGTCCAGATAACAGTAGATTCTGTTGAAATCTTGGACGGATGGGACAAGCGACAACAAGTTTAGGAGGTCGAAAGTACACCCTAAATTTGTTGTGAGCGCGTCCAAACCTTTGGGATGTGGTCCACCAAACATGGTGCCCCTTGTCCCATGTTGCCAGGATATGCCATTCGTGAAATCGGCGGAACAACTCTCCTTTCACGATTCGAGTCACCAATCCCACTGACGTGAGCGGGTGCTTCTGGACACAACGGTCCACAATATCCATGATTGCTGGCAACTCGTTGAACGAGCAAGAGATG